CTTTAATAAATTAACTAAACTAAACTATCAAAACTACCTAAATCTAAACGACCATTTAATGAACGTGTTAATTTTTAATATAAATAATTAAAAATATTCGCACTTACAGAAATTATTCACGACCAAGTTTTCATCACTGTACACTTAATCAAAGGACGTTTTATAATGTTCTTATAATTTATTTACTTCGAGCGCTTTAAGAAACGCTCACAAAATATAAATTCGATTTTCGAATCCGCGCGAATCGCGCGTCTCGTACGTTAGCCGCAGTTCGTAACTATCAGATGATTGCAAAGAGTTCGCACCGGCTTAACTATTTCTACAGATCGGTTTTTATCAAATTTCCGCACTGTCGCCATATTATTTGCTTCACAATTTACATGTTGTGTTTACCTTCAAATTTTTAGTTACAGCACAACGATTGAGCACGATTTAACTGGTCACGTAAATTTAATCCAAATCTTCCTAAAAAATATTGTAACAGCAATAACGATCTATGTTTTTTAATTCATAAACCTATTTGGATACTATTTTCTTGGAAGCATATATATACATACATACATTCATGGTAAAAACGTCTTTTTATTTAAAAAAAAAACGATAATGAAGTGTTATAAAAACTAAAAAATATTCCTGAGAATAGAAAACCCATAATTTCCCTTTTTTGCCTGTCTCTATTTGTCAATTTCATGGAGATTTCCATCACACTAAGATTTGTATTCAGGTATATTTATTATTTGAAATACTTCCTACTATTTTGTACTTATCGTTAAAATTACTTGTCAACAGAAAATATTGCGAATAGAGATGCTATCAGTCAATGAAGTATGACTTTTTAAATATATCTTCTATATATGTATATATAAAAATGGATTGCTGTTCCTTAGTCTCGCTAAAACTCGAGAACAGCTGAACGGATTTATCTTATCTTAGTCTTGAAATGTTCGTGGAGGTTCAGGGAAGGTATAACAGGTGAGAAAAATTGGAATAATTGCCGGGAAACCCTAAAAACAGCCCTTTTCTATTTACCATACAAACGCTTTTTTTGACATTAGATTTGACAACTAACTAATATGTCAATCATTCTGTTTGATTGAAACAGGAAAAACCTGATTATTTATGGCCTCTAAGACGGAATAGAGTTCGCCTGGTCAGCTATACATATATTACTAATGACGAAACTAACGCGGACGAAGTCGCGGACAAAAACTAGTACATAATAAAATACTGCTAATTACTTTCTCTGTACATTGATTTTTTTAAATATGAATACGGGCTGTAAAAAACTCAAGAATATTTTTGTCTTTATCATCAAAAATCCATAACTTTTGAAAATATTTCACAACTTCCTGAAATAAACTGAAGAAATATTTGAAATATCCATTGATGATGAAGTTTTGGCCAAACAACTCAACAGTGGACATAAGCATAACACTTAACAGCAACGGTCAATAATATTTAAAGTCAATATTTTTATTTCATGAAATTAACACTATAACCCATGTAACACAAAATAAGCCTGCCATATTAATACTTTAGTAATATAAAATTGAAGCTATCAAAATTTGTAAAGCTTACATTTTGTATAGATGATAGTTCCTAAGATTTTCATGAGCCTTATAATCAAGAAATATATGTTAGTTTTTATTTGAATGATGTTAATTTCTTTATTATATTATATAGCTGACTCTACAGACAATGTTCTGTCAATCATTGAATTTAATTAACAAATAAAAAATAGGGGTTGATCTCAGAGGGGTGAAAATTTAGGGTTGTATGTATTTTTGTAGGCTGTATCATAAAAAAATAAAAACAAAAAATTTTTGCCTAAAAAATAATAACAAAAATTTAGGGGTGGACTACCCTTAACATTTAGGGGGATGAAAAATAGATGTTGGCCGATTCTCCCCCCTGGTTAGTATCCTCGATAAGGATCACGAAAATCGTTCGAGCCGTTTCGGAGGAGTTCAAGTTCGAACACCGTGACACGAGAATTTTATATATTAGATATTGTAACTTACTGTGGTCTCATTTAATTTAATAAAAACATCTAGTTTCTCGAATACAGAAACTAAGTATACAATAGAATAGAATGAAAACAGTCGGTGCATTGTCATCTTCTTTTTTTTTCATATAAAAGTTAATATAAAAGAGATATTTATAATTTATAGTGAAAGCATTATTGCTTGTTGAACTGTATTCAAATATGTATAACACAGAGAGAAATTGTGCGAGACTTAGTAAAACTTTGTTAGAAGTATGCTGATGGTTTTCTAAAGTGTGAAAGAATTACATATCATATAATCATATATTTATAATCTCTGACCTCAAAAGATGTATACATAGACATAAAGAGGCCGACACGTAATAAAACGTTATTTTAAATATAAAGTACGCATTGTTTTGTTACAAATTCAGTTTGCATGACACTGACATATATGTTGTCTATGACGCGTACGAAGTTATTAGACGAAATCTATTGTTATTAAAAAATAAATATTTAATTAAATAATTTGTATAACAAAGTAAAATTATTATAAATAAATTTTATTACATTTGAGACATATATTAATTTTATTTTAATTCTTAAAATTGTCATAATTTATATTTTATGTGAATGAATGTGGTCGTGTTAAAGTTATCCCTATTGGAAAAGAGTTTGGCCAATTTTCTTGAATTGTTCTTTATGATTTCCCTTAGAGATGCCCAGATTCAATTATTAATTGTTACTGAATAATCGAAATTAAATATATAAAATAATAATAATAATGTTACACTTTTTTTATTATTTGGTGAAGGCTTTGAACGCTTGTCGAATTAAAGGTTTTAATAGACATTTCTCAAAAATTTATAAAAACCTTAATATTTCAAAAACCGTGTTATATTTATAGCTCTCTTCTTTGTAACTCTCATGTCTCTCACTGTTAAATCTGTATTCTTTTTTATCTTCATTAATTGCGGTGTCAACCATGTGGTCTTGATTTTATTATTTTATAACTGAATTTTCACTTGAAACTACAAAAAATTATTGTATTAATTTAATTGATATTTCCTTCCTTTGTTTTGTTGTTATAAACAAAAATCTTGTAGTTAAGATAAAAAAAAACTAAGCCTTCCGTAATAATGTATGTTAATGTTGTAAATGAGGAAGTAACTCGTTCGGTATGTTTGTCTGTCTAATCTTTTAATGAAATTTGATATATGTAGAGGTGGATAGATAGTTAGATATCCATGCAGACAGATCCGCGGGCAAATGCCAGTACATTATATCGTATTTATTTATGTTCTATTGATCATTATGTTTATATAGGATGTATGTTCAATTTCACATATATGCATATATAGTCCAGTCATTTAAGCTTAAATTAGGTAAGAATCTCGGAATGCGAGATATCCAGCTGTAAGTCTGTAAATAGTTGCATATATACACCCTAAAAGTTGTCTCAAAACCTACATATGGTAGGGTGTAAGCAACTATTAAATTTCAAGTTCAAAGGTCGCAAAAATCGGTTTTTTGCGCTTTTTTTGGAAATATCTCATTTCCTATGGGTTTTTTGCTATTTGTATTTATTATCAATATTGTAGAATACTAAATTATCTACAAATTTCGTTTCAAATTTTTTTTTATACGGTGTACCGTTTTCGAGATAGAGGGCGGAGAGCGCGCGGTCACCGCATCACTTCAAGTCAATCGGTGCATCCGGTCGAAAACGCGCCATATAAAGTTGATGAACTATCAATAAATCAATGATTATAAATATTTGTCAATTTTTATTAAATATTATATTATATTTTATCATTTTTTTCCTAACTTATCCACTTTTTATTCAGTATTAATTTATTTAACAACACTTACCTGTCCATGTAATTGCAGAATTCTCTAATAATAAATAATAATTGCTGCTGCAGCTTCTACAATTCTTAGCCTTTCTGCTTCAGGATCTATTTTTTTACTTTCGTACCAAGCTTTTGATAGAATATTAGCTTGTGCATCACGGAAAGAAATTATCGTGAAAGCTCCAACTTTCTTCGTAATTACGATATCGGTTAAGTACTTCTGTTGTAGTCTTGTAATGATAGTTTTATCATCTGGCACATACCCTGTCAAGACATCTTTAAGCTCTTTTAGTGTGAATTGAGAATCATTATTATTTTCGATGTAATTGAAAATCTCTAACATAGCTTCTGTAACTTGATAATCTTGACGAGGTTTCTCAAGAGGCGATGATGATGATGATTTATTTGAAAAGTTTGTAAAACAAGCAGCATGGTACTTCGCTTCAGCAGCGATCAAATCAGACTGTAAAATTATACGACTTTTCACCAATTCTCCAAAATCATCCCCACGTTCTTCTGCTTTTTTGAAAATTGACAAATATTTATAATCATTGATTTATTGATAGTTCATCAACTATATATGGCGCGTTTTCGACCGGATGCACCGATTGACTTGAAGTGATGCGGTGACCGCGCGCTCTCCGCCCTCTATCTCGAAAACGGTACACCGTATAAAAAAATTTTTGAAACAAAATTTGTAGAGAATTTAGTATTCTACAATATTGATAATAAAAACAAATAGCAAAAAACCCATAGAAAATGAGATATTTTCAAAAAAAGCGCAAAAAAACGATTTTTGTGACCTTTGAACTTGAAATTTAATAGTTGCTTACACCCTACCATATGTAGGTTTTGAGACAACTTTTAGGGTGTCAATATACAACTATTTACAGACTTACAGCTGGGTATCTCGCATTCCGAGGTGAACTTACTATAATGACTGGACTAATACTCGTATGCATGCATATCACTGAAAGTATAAGCATGTATAATGTACATAGATTGTTTTCACTTTTTTGGGGGAAATAAAACAATCGATTAAAAAAATATTATAATAATATTACCTACTTCGATAATTCAATTCCATAAATATTTTCTGACGTGCTTATAGCCTATAAAATTTTATACATATTACATTCACATCAATAAAAAAATTCTAAACCTTAAACTTTTTCTTCTCTCTCAACCACAGCGTCAGGTTTTCGTCTCGGTATTTCTTGTGTGGCTATATCTAAAGAACCATTTTTACTTAAACCGCATAGAGAAAATAATTGTCTTACTTTATCTTTCTTTTTAAAACAATACAGCACGAACATAAGTATAATCAAAATAACAACGATAATGCCTACAACAAAGGGAGCATTACTGTCTACCTCATCCTTATGACTTTCTAATTTTCTAATCTCCTCGTTTAAGAAATCCTTTAAAGGCGAGAAGTAGTCTAAAATACCACTGGTAGATAATTCTGTTTCTCCTGTCATAGTCTTTAACACGATACTCCAGTCCTTGCTGGCACCCAATGACATTCCGTCACTACAAAAAAGAAATTCACTCATTAAAAATAAACTTAGAAGATGAAGTGAAGTCATTTTTATATTCATTTAAAAATTTTGGTTGAAAGAACTAATGTCTTATAGTAATTTATAAAAACGGAAGTATATTACATTTTCCTTAAATCCTTTCCTTATTAATGTCGTAAATATTAAACACTGATAATATGTATAAGGAGGATACCTCAAGAGTTTTCCCGCTTCCTTCACGCCATAAATGGAACACTCGTGCAAAGGTCCTGTGTGATTCGCTTTCTTACATAGAGATGATAATATTTGAAACTCTAGTATGTGGGATATCAGATACCTATAAGATAAAATATAAATTAATAATATTTGAAATGTCGATTACTTTTCAAATATTATTAATTTAAACTTGACAATAAAATCCCCATAATTATTATTTTATAGAATGTTAAACTTCGTTATATAGATATACCATATTATACTCAATATTCAAAGTTTTAGATACAATTATCTGAGTTGTCACAAATTTCAGAAATAGACAGAACACTTGCTATAGTACTTACTAAGAATATTTGTAAGGATAGGATTATATTTTAAAAATTTATAATGCTTCAATTTCTACAATAACAAATCGTTACTGAAATGAAGACAAATTGCATTTCTTAAGTATGGATATTATAATAGAGACATTATATTACAATGAATATTTTTTTTTGGGCACTAAATATAGCAGCGTGGTTTTGAGTACAATAAGAATATATATAAAACATAAGAGAATACATAATAGTAATAAAAAAAAAAATCTGTACGCTTAGTTCAAGTGATCATCGTTATGTTTGGCGTTATTGTCGAATTGTCATATATAGGTACGGAGATTTAACAGTTTTTTATTCATAAATCTTCACACATACTATTAACATATATTATTGAATGAAAAACTAGCAAGGCTTCGAAAATATTATGATAATACAAACTTGGATTTAGCATACTCGTAATTTATGAATGTAATCAAATAAACTTTTAATGCATTGCTGTTAGGAATTACCTATAATTTTATATTCTTTGACAGAAACAACCATGTTGTTTTTCTAATGCCTTTTATATTCAATTATTTGTCAAAAGTAAAACCAAAAACCAGTTAATTATTAAACAAAAATAAACTTATAAAGAATGAATAATAAAATTATTTAAATAATTGCTTGAGAAATTAAAGAATTCATAACAAAAGAAACACATTTTCAATGTTTTCATTGAGAAATCAATTTTAACGAAAACATCTGAACCTAAAGTGAGAATTTGTTACAGCACGCTTGAACAGGCGATAATTCACTTCATTGTCGACTTAAGTAAGGCAAAACGTATTTGTATTAAGTATGTAAAATATTAAAATGCATCAAAGAACACGTAATGTTCATATGTAAAAATATGAAATGAGATATTACAATTTATACAACTGGAAACGATTCTTTCTTTTGGTTTCAAAAATAATGCCTTAATCTCCCTCCACTTTAAGTCGTTTTAACAGAAATGACCTTTTCAAACTAATATTTTATAATAAGTATTTAAACACATTTATGCTAAACCTTTTTTTTATAAATATATCTACGTATTCGATGGTCCAAGTTCCTTAAATCTTTTACAATAAAAATATATTCACGAAGATAAGCCTAGTTATTACGTACAGGGTCAATCGTTTGTATCGCTACTGGTAAAATGAGAACAACCAAGAGAAGATAGATTCACTCACGTTATATATTGGACATGAGAGACAACATGATATTTAGCGGCAGGATCCAAATCACTCTCATTACGAAGAACTGGCGCTGAGATGCCAGTCTCTTTTATTCTGAAAATTTACAGGAATGTTTACATAAGAATTTATAATAACCCTGAATAAGCAGAAAAAAATATTTCTGTTATTGATATTTGAAAATATAAGATAACATGTACATACTTTGTACATACCTTAAATCCCACCAATGTTGATTCAAATTTTCCATGCTACTATTAGAAAACACATCCCATCTCCACTTATCAAGGACGTAAGCGTATGCCATGAGTGGAAATTTTTCTAAGGCCAACCAAAGCAAGTGGTTTATCGTAGAATTGTCAGTTGTGTCCACCTTCACGAAGTTCAAGGTAGCCAAGTGATTTGGCGAGGTTATTTGCACAGCTACGATATCAGAAACTGCATCGTGAAAGGCTGCAAGTTTTAATATTTTTATAAAAACACGAGTTTTTTACATCAGAAATTATTTAATTTTTAATCAATTTGTTTATAAAACTACATTTTGCTTTAATAGTGTTGTTTTCAGTCAGCAGCATGTTATTTTAACTCGGAACCCATAAAATGGAAAATCAAACAAAAACGTTATCCATATTGTAGGAAGGTAAGTTAACTTAGTCAACAAATTACAAACAATTTATGAATGAATTAATAAATTAAATTTTGGATTTATCTTGAGAAAATAATAAAGCTTTATATCATTGTATCGATTATATGTACAAACATATGTTTATGACCTACAAGGTCAAAAATTCTATTTTTTAAAAATTACGAAACTGCAGTCATCGTACATATAGGTTTGTTATTATTTTTAATTCAAACGGGTATAGCTTAAATTTTCAAATCCTATTAATCAATTTATAGTTTATACTTTACTGTGATTTACTTTTTTTGAGTCTTAATTTCCAGAGTTAGATAAAAAAATAAATTCTAAATTTTTACTTTTTGTAAATAAAAACTACCCACACACTCCTTCGATTTCTACATTTATTAAGAAAAATAACTCTTATAAAGTAACAACACCCGAACATGATATTTATCAATACAAAGGAATATTTGTTTAATTCAATGTTTTATTAAAATTAAAGATATTTTTTTAAAGATTATTTTGCATAAAGGCCTTCATTTTACAACAGTGTATACAGTTCATCGATTTTGTTACATTTAATCACTGGAACTAATTTTAAGGTTTTCTTGACTAACAAGGGGATCATAACTATTTATGTATATAAACATTATTATTCTGTCAATTTATTTCACTAAATGAAACTTTCTGAATTTTCCGCAAAAATTAAAAAAACAATGATTACTTTAAAAAAACTATGTTCACTACGAATAAACTTAGAATATAGAAAAATTCTAAATCTAAAGGATTTTGTAACTTGTGATAACAACAAAGTATTTGAAACTCACTTTATTTAAGCTGTTAATACCTACATTAACATTGTATTCATATGTCGCAGTTTATATTGAGAACCTTATTTGTCTCTTAGTCGTTAAAAATCAAGCTCTAAGTATACATAAACCCCATTCTGAATATTTAGACATATTACCCCTTAAGTAATATACATACATGTATATACATATTTAAAGCTAATATAAGTTTAAATTGTTGTATTACTATTTCAACAACAGTAACTAACATAACAGCCAAGTGCCACTCTAAATATATTATAAAAATTACGAAATTTACGTATGTATTATTCTAATTTAAAATAAAATTAAAACTAAATGTGTTGGAAGTTTATTTATTTGGTGAAATATTGTTAGAGATTAGGGTAAACTATAAATTGTAGACCAAAATGACAAATAGATAATATAGACATAACGTTCGTATACACTTCGTTTTTTCCTATTTGTATTAAAACATATTCATATTTTTTTTATATTTCAATTAAAACTTAACTATAAAATATAAATTTACCTGGATTTGGCCCATCCCTATACAAAGGCTCTAGATTACGATAATGCTTAAAATATTGCACATGTCCCAATAATCTCGCTGCTCTTGATAAGCCTATAGTTACATCAGAAATTTTCTCACCACACCATTTTATTCTGTAAAATATAAAGCGTAATGAGTATTCGACAACGAAGTATAAATTTTAAAAAACAAACACTAGTATCATACTTATAATGAGTGCCATCACACATGTCATGACTTGATGGTAAACAATTGACCGTGGACATAGACTCCGTTATATCCTGAAAGGTATCCTGAGCTGATTCGAAACCAAGTGATTGATGAAATTCGTCTACAGCGTGAAAGAGGTCCCTCGCATTGACAGTTTCATTGCTTACAACTGTTGGCCTTTCTATATTTGGATAGGGCGCTACTTTGGGATAAATCGCTTGCCATTCTTGTGCCCAAAGGTTACCTGTGTTATAAATTTCATTATCAGTATTTTCCTTATAACTTAAGAGATTATATATGTACTAATATAAGTATCAGCATGAATTTTAATATAAAATTTACGTTCCACAGGTATGTTTTGATAATAATATTATAAAAATTTCGTCATTAAGACCATTTATGTTATTTAGAGCATTTGAATATTCTTTTGAAAATCTTTGATTTGTTTTACAAACTATAGTTTTTTAAAGGAACATGTTTTGTTGGTAGTGGAATTTCCACTGAGTGATTATTTGATTATAATATTGTTGTTACTTATTACTTAATTATCGGGATATTTTCAAGAATTCACAATTTTCAATACAATGTTACATCCTATTAAATAAAATAAAAACTCACCTAAAACATGCGCAGGTATTATGTTGTTGTCGCCTTTTAATTCCTCGTAATAGATTTCCATTCGTTTTCTTACAAACCTATGTAAAAGATTGTATATAGGTTTTATTTCGTTCCAAAGTCTTTCAACGGTTTGTTTAATTTCTAAAGTGGAGTCATGAAATGCATATCTCCACATGTCACCAGCGTCATTGAAACCTTCAGATATTGCGACTTTGTTCATCCTTAATACATAATCTTTAAAAATCGGTCTAATCTTTTTTCCTGTCGCATCTCTATAGGCTCTCCAATAGTAAGACAATTCTTTAGTATCATTGCTTGTTTTGAATATCGTAATGATATCTGAAATGAAAAATAGATTTTATTATAGCTGACAGTTTTACTCTTCATTTATTTATTTTTTTAATATTATCTATTTATATACATATAATTTTTAATGAATGAATAGATAATATTTTGACGTCGCCATTAATGAATGCAAAACAATGAAAATATTTTTGGTCACTTTTTATTTAAATTTTAAAATTTCTCGTAAGATAATTATCAATATAAATCATGACTTCCTGTACTACACTGAAGTTGAATCAAAATACTTTATAAAAATTTCAAATATCTGATTTCTTATTTTCTATATATCGATAAATATGACACTGAAAGTTTACCAATCAACAAATATAAAACAGACACTGATTATGTTATTGTATAGTATTACGTGATGTTTATATGTGGAACATAAACTAAAGATATACATACATACATATATGCAAGTAACGGTGTAAGTGAAAGGTTCCGTAAGCGTTTTAAACGTTTATGATTAAAGTTCAAAGTTATAAAGAAAATGATGAAATATTTACAACGTAATAAATTAAAGTTTTATTTCAATATGATTTATTCTAAATTTATTTCCAATATCACTGTGGTTATTAATTGATATTATTCAGCGTCGTTTCTAAAGTAATGAATGAATATTATCATAAAAGAAGACCATAAAAAATCAGAAATAAAATGTATGGTGTCTATCTGATATTTGAGAGGTTTTTTTGTATTTAATTAAGTTACAGTAATTTGCACAAAAGCTGCTAAACTAACTAACTATACTGGACATATATAAACAAACATTATTTCCTTACTTATACTTATGTATGAATGAGATTAAAAACCTGTTAATATGCGCTTATATGATTGATCCATCCCAGAATTATTTATTGTAGCTTATGAAGCGATTTGAGAAATATTCTATTAAATAATAGAAAATCTCAACATAATTTTAACAGAAAGCAAGAATAAATAGTATGTTTTCTGATATAAAAATTGTTATAAAAAAATCTGACCGCTCATTGTGCGCATCGAATCCTCAGCATTGCAATTACTAATATTGTAGGCGCACACAGCCACTCGGCTCCAAATTCGCTGCATTGTGTCAATTTCTTCACGTTGCTGTTAAAAGAAAGTATATAATATTATACGATAAAGTGTAACCTGTCTCTAAATCCAAAAGCATAAAAGACATTCAGCTTAACCTAGTCAATATATTTTTTCTAACCACTAACTTTTCCCGACCACATATGGACTCATGACTTTCATAGAAATCGAGTAACCAGAGAAACCTTTGTAATTACAGATCTGTTATAGTATGTAGGATAAAACTGCTATCAAAATTCCATTTCAATTTTCTACGTAAATAAAGATTTTATGGGCTATTATTTTTTATTCAATTCTACACGATAAAATATGTCTGATTGATAGTGTCTACTGTTTAAATTTCACTTATTTCAATTATAGTTTACTGACCGTGAATATAGTAAACGATTTCTAAAAATAGGTGTAGTAATAAATGTAAAGAGTATAGTTAAAAAGTATTATATGTAAATAATGTCATTATTTACAAACTTAAACAATACTTAGCTTTACAAAAAAGCAACTATATTTCGGATACGTCCATTGTAAAGAAAATGGCAGATATAAATGAAAGTAATATTTCCGGATTACGACCAGCATTTTATTATTTTTAAAAACTACATACTCCCGATGTTTCACTGCAGCAACCATGATCACGATCAACGAGATATTCGAAAACATTAAATTAAAATTTATATTAAATTAATACTTTCGTAAGTCTTAGATCTCATTAAGGTAGATATATTTCAGGATGCAGAATCAACATAAAAAATCCCAAATATAACACTAAGAAAATAACTAACTAAATACCTCATTTAATAATTGTTTTTCTTATAAATAGAATTATTATAGCAACGAATTTTGTTTGTAATCTTACCTTACTTTGGGGCATCAAAACATTAGTTCCACGATCTCGTATGATTCTAACTTTTCTTGCTAACTTTTCGTCATTTGTGGTGTAGGCTGATTTTAAATATTTTGTCTTAAATATTGTCCAATATTGCTTTTTTATTTCATCTTCTTCGGCTGCGATCCTAACCTGGAATTTCAGATTATGTTTGATGCATAATAGAGTTTTCTATAAAACTATTGTGTAACCAATATACTGATGATAATACATAAAGAATATATTAAGATTTTTTTTTATCATCTACCAAATATTCTAATTACAGTTTCGAAGTTCTTTAATACTAATTTTATTATATTATATTTAATAATACATACATAAATTACCCGCTATCGATATAGCAATAAATATATTAAGTGTTTATATGAATTACCATTCTAGTCTTCTTCGTTTCACTATTGATATCAGTAACATATTCCCATAACGACTCCTGTGATGTTTTGCAAATCTCTAAACTTAATTTATCCATTTCTGTCATAAATGTTTCCATTGATACATTTCCATGTTCTAAGTTATCGATTTGACTTTTAAAATTTTGGACAACCTCATCGCCTTTAAGTATTACTGTATTTGGATCTAGGACTGTTTTCATTGCTTCGTCGAGATACTTTTTATCTTCAACGTCACCTTCCACTTCATAACCACTTTCATTTGACTGCTCTGTCTTATTGAATGCCACTCCTTTTTCATCTGCAGACATTTCAGAGGTCGGGTTGTTGGAAAACTGCATGCCCTTCCCAATGGACACAATTCCCAAGCATATTAATGCCTGAAATTTGTTTTAAAGGAAAGAAAATTAATAAAATATCGAATAAATAGGTATTTGTATATGATATATCTTAATGCGCTACCTAGAGACTAAACAATATGAACCATTGTCATACCATGTTTTTAAAATAGGACTACAATAGAATAGAATTATACTCATTGAATATAATGTTTCGTGGCAGTTAAGAACTGGGTGTCAACCACTGCCTGACCTTTAGGTTATGACTATTCAGTATTTATTGTACCTACATCCATTCTACATTATTCTAGATTCATTAGAATAATAGTAGTGTGACACTGCAAGTAATGTTTGAAATAAGAGATCTAACATGTAATAGTACGATAACAATACAGTAGTTCCAGGCGCAATTATTAAATAATGATTACATCCTTTGTAACGTAACTCTCGTGTATTATTTTAGACCTATCAAGATTTATTATACTTTGTAAAAAGGCAGAGACTCTTTAAGAAACATATTCTTCTCCTTATTTTCCTTCGATTTTGTATGTATGTCGTATTTATTACACATTATACCGTAGGTATCTAATAAATTGTTGTTCGGACAAACCAGTAAACGTAATGAACGACATTCCATGCTCTATACGTAATGAATTTTATTCCTAAAGTAGATTTCTAAATAGGTACTTAAACAATACATGCCAATCTAACAGGACAAATAATTCTTCGAAAAAAAAAGTCCAAGATCTCTAGGTAACTAATGTCTTAATTCAAACCTAATACAATATATTATGAATATAATATTGAAATGTTATTAATCAAAACAAAAAAAATGAAAACTATACTAGTAATCATATAAAATCATAAATTAAGAGCTCTTTTCGGTATTCATATCGTAACGTTTATATAAATTGTTGGTAAGCCAAAACTTTCATAAAAAAACTTTTGTAAGGTAAAAATTAATCACGACATTGTATCTTCATATGAATTATTTATATGAATTTATAGAATACATACTTGTGTCAGCATCATGTTTCTCTAAATATTCACTGTAACTATAAAATCACCGAATCACAAGCTACATTTTCAAACATCAGTCCATATATATTATAACGTCGTATAACAACCAACCAACAGAACTCAAGCACCGTTCCTGACTTAATGTTTGTGAATAATGCCTGATGTTAGTAGTTTTGTGTACTTTTTTTTAATCGAAACAATCGAACGTCGGGTTTGTTTTGAAAACGTGGAACGTACGGGTCGACCGGACCGCATGCGCCGGCGCATTGTTCTGTGATACAGAAGCGTTTCAATTCAAACTGTCAGGATGTTCACGTGCGAACGGAAGCCATTCTAATGCTGACACCTTATTATCATCCAATATACAATATTGATCAGTACTAAAAACATGGACTATCATGCTTTCTTAAACAATAATAATTGCATCCGTCCTCATTCCTTCAGCACGCTGATAAGGGAAATAATAAACTGAATGTCGTTAACGTTTTATTGCATTTGTCGGTAATGAAGTGAACTGTAATATTTATTGCTTTTTTAATATTGATGCCAACATGCTCGCTCCTTTTTTATCGATTTCTTCGTATCCATAAGGTTCTAATGTCTTCTTTGTTCTTTGAAACCATTTATTAACGTTCTCATGGTCGCTGAAATCGTATCCGAACGCCTGACAAAAAAAATTCAACGTATTAAATTACACTCTATTATAACTTGTTGGTTTGTTTAAGATAGTGGACATGTCATTTCATTCCTTGACATTGTCGCTTTAGACATTACAATCAACTTATTTATTTCGAATTGGCTCCATTCTCAACATATTTTAAATACTACCATTACTAAATGAAAACTACAAAATGCATAAGTTTACAATTTATATTCGAAAAGGATGAAATTTCTGTTGTTGAGATGTTTGATAAGGCACTAGAACTTATGTGTCCGTCTTCTATTAAGTGTTTATTATTTTTTCCATTATTATTAACAACACATGTATATGTACACACTAACCAATAATAATATCAAATATTTCAATTAATAGAAGTAATGTTCCAGTAAGTATTACATACTATATTCATAAATGTATTTCTGCGCTGATTTTTGTAGCGTTTTTATGATCATAATAATATATAATCAGCGTGATTAAATGTAAGTATGTACTTATGGATCCGTTTCCTTAAGGTAAAAGCAGGATGAAAAGTAACTTTCTGTTGTATTTTATGCTCGTGCATACAGTTGTACAATTAATATATCTTATAATACATATATTCTGTTTAAGAAATAATATTGTTTTTTTTTATATTCTATTAATACAGACTCTAAAATACTTCATAGAAGCTTTATATAGTTACTATATCCTACTAAACTATATAGAAGCGCTTATGTAAAATATGTGTGCTCTTTGTTTGGTTACTGATTATACTGGCGTTCTTTTAAGATAGAAATAAATATGTTATTAGATATAGGCTAAATCTATTGGACGTCCTGAAATCCCTATACTAAATGAAACTTTTGCTAAGTGTTTTTTATTAATCTGTTTTAAGAAATTTTCTCTATATTCATTACATTAGTTTGGAACCCAAAAGCGGGCGTTTCCGTTATTAATTTTTCCCTTTTCTTTCTCTAAAGGCAAATTATCATATATTCAACTACCTTGGATTATTCAATCCATCTGAATATTAATGAAAAACTAATTTTCTTCTTGTTACCATAACACTAAAAAATATAATTAAATAATAAAATTATTCTAAAATATTATTTACCTCCAAATTACTGAAAGTAACAATAATTGATATATCTGCTAAGGTCATATTATCGCCTGCAACAAATGCTCGTCCATCCAACATAGTATTCATCCAACCAATTGCCTCTTTCAGTTTCTTTGCTGCCTCATCATCATACTTTTCCCCGTGGAACAACATACGACCCTAAAAATATTGATTAATCTTACTATCAACAATATAAAAAATTACAATTACATTACAATATAAATAATATTCAGTGTCAAAGTTACAGCAACAGTTATTTGAATTTTTTACACATTAACTGGTATATTTGATTTTGTTGTCTAAGATGTTGTACAATCGTATGGCTCAAGATCTTTGAAACTGAAAACCCTTGGATAAGGCATTATATTCAAATCTGGATGTATAATGATTGTTCAGCTAAATGTGTACTAAATGTGAAAATATGCGACATTATAACGTTTTAAATACAATTACATATATCACTTACATATAAATTAAAAAACCGATTAAACAGAGTCCCAAGATCAAAATTAAGTCTCTGATCTACGAGCGCTCTTGAGCGTGGATTTTTTGGATAAAGGGAGTCGTCACGACCATATGCATTCGCCAAATAAGTCATGATAGCGCGGCTGGAACATAAACAATATGAATACTCAAAATAAGTTACTCAATTGAAGAAGTTACTTACTTACGTAAATAATCTTACCTTTCCCATAAAATAAAACCACTGTCGTCCATCGTTGGAACTGTATGTTGAGGATTCATCTGAAACAGGCAATATAGGCAATGCATAAGGGGATTTATATAAATGATTAGGAGCCTTTGAATGACTTCAGTTCTTATTAAAGCTTAATGATTGCCATCTACTTATAAAATAAAATAAAAACCTTGAGGAACTCTGGTGTCATATGTTGTCCTTCCATAATGTTGGTGAGAACCAGGTCTAAGTCTATGCCAAGAGCCCGAGCTGTCATCATAACTGCTCGGCAAGGTGGTGATGGTGGTACATAATACAATTTGATAGGTTCACTCGGCATTTTGCCACCCTTGGATCTTGCTGCTGCGTTGCTAAAATACATAACGAAATTATCTCAGAAACTACATAGTTATCCCATTAAATTGTTTATGTATTGCAAAGTTATAAGCTAAATAACATCATGAACAATAAAAGGAGAGTATATCTAAAAAAAAATATAGTAATAGTAATTTAATGACACAGAAGTAATTTAAAAAAACAAAATTAAAGCAGCTCTGCCACAAAATATTACACTAGATTTGATTTATCCATTTAATAAAATGGAAAAACTCGAATGGTTTCAATTAACATTTTAAGTTTCACTCTTACTAATAGTAACATGTAACTAATACAAAATGTACTTCTACAACAAATATAAAAAAAATGTGCTAGCCAAATTGGTGGCATCAACTAGTGCAATACAGTGTGGTCGATTCTGAAATGCTTCCATTAAAAGATTACAAATACTTTTATAATTGTATGTGTATATAATTTAAGTTTTTTTATTGTGTTACTAATATGAACAAAATATCTCTTCTCACTCTATATTATTTTTTACTTTTTATATGTTACGTGTTAGTGCATAAGTTAATTTGTAGATACAGGTCAGTTAAAGTAATAGTTATGTGATATTAAGGATTAAAAATATATGTTTTGTTATGCCTTTATGATGTCTGTTATTTCCATAATAGTAATGGAACTTTAAGTATACCGCCACCCAATCCAATAAAGTTATTTAAAAAACTTACCATTTCACTACGATTAAAATCAAACATGTAATTATTGAAAGCAATTTTTTCATTTTTAGGGATGATGACAACTGATTAAAACAGAAATACAGAAATTTTAATATATTTTAAAATTTATCTACCTTCCTACTATAAAAAAAAATTGTTGATAGTTTGTCTACTATAGAAATGAACCAATACAAGTAATTTAAAAAAAATATCCAAAATCCAATTGGTTCATCACTCACTCAGCTAATTGAATTTTTTCCACAACCGTTTTGTCCATACATTGCCCCAGATTGACTAAATCTTAACCAAATTATACAAAAAACTTGAAACTTTGCTAAATATCATATATGTTAGAAAACAATTGACATATCATAAATAATATACTTTAGTACTAAAATTGTTACACTGTTATGGAAATAATACTTGCAAGAGTTTATAGTTTATAACATAAATAGATTAACTTATTACGTTATAAATTGACGTGGTTGTTACGATGACAATATTCTAGTAACTTTGACGATCAGGCAACTAGTGAGCGCTACCTGTTTTATACTATTTGTATTATGTTTGCTTGCGGGGGTCATGGCAACGGTGGGTGAAACTGAAAATTACCACTTATGATACATTTTCATGGTCACTCATGTTATAATATAATATTACGTCCACACTACGTATAGGAAGCGACTTTGTCTGAATAGTATTTTTGAATATTTTGAGCAAAACATATTTATATATTACAAAGTTTTTTTTTATAAATGTTATTCGTTTTATCGAAAGAAGGTTAAAATCATATATTTTTGACTTTTAATCGTGTCAGATTTGGAGCCTTCTACAAGTTAAATTTTTTACCTTATTATTAAGAACACACGATTCTACGACCACAAGATTCTTAAGCAAATGAAATGTAATTACTACCAAAAATAATTGGATAAATTTAAACCTGTATCTGCTTTGGCACGTTCCCTAAATATCAATTGACCTTCCTTACTTTCAATAACTTTTCTCTCTATCTTTCTATTTTTCACACCCAATAAGCTCTACCAATCCTCTCTCCTCCTTATTCATCTTGCTATTATTTATTAATTTCAAATACTAGTTTGTTCTTGAATAGCAACTTTCGAGGTACGATTTCCGAGCCTACTTGTTATTTAGTATGATTTTATTACTAACATTTTATATCTCAAAGGACATAGTTCATTAAATTTCACCCACAGATTGACAAGTGTACATAAAACAATACGATCAAAAAAAACAAATAATTTTAAAAAAATGTTACAAAAATACATGACCTTAAACAAGATGTCTATTCAGTTAGGGATGCGACAAATAGTTATAAATTATGCAGGTAATAACTGTAATTAGTTAACAATTCCCAAGAACCTTTGTATAAGATTTAATGGAATTAGCATGATGTTTCAATCGTTTCAACTGAAAGTAAATTGAAATTAAATTTGTGATAAAAATAATATTACCCGTAAGTCCTGAAGGTTCTTTGTGGAGTTTTAATACGGTCTATTCATATTTAAATGAAACTTATATTTTCGGATATACTACGCGGTTTATTTTTTATTAAATGACAAGACCAACTGACAGACATTCACATCTCCTCTGCCCGTGATCACGGTTGCTGAAAAATAGCCGAGACGTCGGGAGTATGTACTTTTTTCACAAAAATAAACCACGTAGTATATTTGAAAAATATTCGTTTAATGTAAATGAATAAACCTTGCGAAAATCCTAGTTGGGTAGATTTAAAAATAAATATATGTATAAGAACCTGGTAACCATTATTTTTTAAGTGACTAAGACAACTTTAATAAGTTTAAATAATGTGTTGCCAAATCATTTGACGAACGTTATAGGTAAATAAAAATCTCGCTTTTAATCAGAATATCGAAAAAATGTTAATGTTTATATATTTTAACATAAATAAAATAAGATTATTTTATATTAAATGAGATATGAAACATGTCAATTTCGTAAGATCAATGGTTGTATTTTAGTTTTGGAATAAATCTACCGAAATCCATTCATATGTTATGATTTATAACACAACTTTAAGAAAGTTTCTTTAAAAGAAACTATTAAAGTAATTGACAGTAAAAAAAATATATATTTTTCATTAAAACTCTTTTTATAGGTTTCGATGTTTATAGAAATTAAATAGCGATTTTTTCTATTAATCTTTTATCTTGGTTTTTTAAAATTTATTGAATATAAGACAACATAACTAAAGTTAAGCGCCAAGGTGAAACTCATCTTTCCAATTATTAATATGCGACCATCGATGTTTTAGTTGTTATATAAAAAAGAATCGCTGATGTACAGTTAAAACAGTTTTTAGTTAATAAAGCATTGAATCACCCGAGATATAGGGTCGTGCAGACTGCAAGTAATTTACATAAATAAACTACAAACGGATGGCATTATTTATAGAGGTCGATAGAAAGTCAGTAAATGCATTATCGTTTATATTTACTGGGTGACTTATCATTTCGTTCATATTTTATTGTTATTATTATGAATAGCAATTAACAACTTCAGACAAATACCTTATTAAGGATAATCACTATTATCTATAGCTTCATACCGATATTACTAATATGAAAGGGTAAGTAATTTATTAACAACAATGCACGTAAATTAAATTAAACAGTCTTTTACTTATTAATAAGACTAAAAAATTTAGAAAAATTTAATACCAACACTTCGTGAACTAAAATTTTAACTTTTCCAGTGTAAAAACAGTAAAACAAGGTATGAATATTTTTCAAATAAATGATTTTTATTTTACATTATAAAAACACATTATTAAGATATGGCCTTAAGGAGATTGCACTTGTAAAAATTACAAATAAATGTATTAAACATAATTTGGCACATTTTTCACTTATCATCTAAAACCTCCACTGTAGATGCACTACTGGCGTTGTCATTACTCTTTTCTTCTATTTGTTCGTTACTAGAATCTCCTTCAATATTTTTCTTATTTAAATCCACGTCATTTGTTTCTGTTTTGATGGTGTTAATGCGTTCTCGATTGTCATCTGTCTGTTGGCCATCGCTTTGGGTTATTTTCATCTTCTTACTCTTTGAATTACCCATTTTTTGATCTCGATTCGTGTCCTGAACACAGCTAATCTCATGTGAGGCTGTTAGTACTTTGTGGATTACTGCAACACACCAGATAAAGTCTTGATAACGGTCGAATGCAATAAACAATGCTTGGCAGATGAAGTGGTGATAAGAGTACCATGCACATACAAAGCAAAATCGCAACTGCTGTGAATACTTTGTTAAAACATATGGTATCACGCAGTTCTTAAGATAAGACGGCAATGACACAGCCCGCATACATATAACTTTGAACCGTTGTTTTTGTTATTTACTTTGTCGGCACTAAAACAATTATTTGTGTAGAGATTCAAGTTCACTGTTATTTTTGTTATTGTTGCCACTGTTTAAGGTTATTTGTTTTATAATGTAGTTTTAAAACACATCTTTTATTATTTATTCTACCGTTTCTGAATTTGTAACACGATATTAACCACACTTTAATTCGCAAACACTGTTCGTCTGTCATGGTTCATTCTCAGTATTATCTCTGAGTCATTAGGACGAAAATAATTTGCTACGGAGTGACATCATACACAAGGTTATCTTAACTTGTGGAACAACTTTAACGCTTACACTATACATGCAGGTCAGAGTAAAACACCCTTTTAAACAGCAAAACCATAAAAGGAAATTTTCTTTTTAAAGTATAAGCAAAATACTATGTAATTCTACAAGGTATTAAAAGTGTCCTCTTTCTTAGTTAGCTTACAACGATCATCTGTGATCTCCATTTTTATTTAATTATAACGTTAACAACTTTTATTAATACTTACTCATATTGTAACATAAAATATGAATTGACCAAGATTAGATACAAGTAGATACATAGAAAATTTATGAAGAGTAAATAGCATAATCTATTAGTCACGCTATTATGACCACCCCCAAAATTTACTATACTAAAAAATCTAGAGTTGAAACAATAACACATAAAAATAATGAAAGATTTTATAAAAATATTAGTAGGTAATCCAAATAGGTAAATACTAATCACTTTTATAAGAATTTGGTAAGAATTCAATAAAACTAATTTCTTAAACTAAGCCTCGTTATTTTGAAGTAATCTATATTTATTGATTGCTGTTTCCACAAATTCTACTGCTCTTTTCAATTTGTCTGTGGTCATATAGGAACCTAATTCTGTTTTGCCTAAAATGGTCTCGACATTGAAATACTTGCATAGCGAGGCAATATTGTAAATACCGAATAAGGAAAAGATTAAGGTGGATATGGTGATGATGATATACATAGATATTCTCTTCAGACATCCAATAGCTCTCTGTAAGCAAACATAAAAGATTTAAAAATAATTCTATGTAGCTCTTACATAAAGGAAAAATATTGCTTTACCACAAAAAGTATCGTTATTATTATAGAACTATTTAAATAAATACATACCAATACTAAAGAACCAAGAAAACTTAACGGAGATTCCACAACGGCTACAGTTCCGACATTAGGTACCACCTCTGCTAAACCGACAACACTTTGGTATCCAGGCTTAGATTGTTGTGAAACATTTAAAGGATTAAGTTCCTGATACGGATAAGGTAGAGAAGTAGGCTGAAATACAAAAAAATCAGTATAAAATTTTGGTTAAATATTCCTTAAATTTCTTTATATCTAAAAATAACTAATGAAAGTATGAAAATTAACATTTAAAAACAGTAAGATGTTTGAATAATCGTTAAATTAGCGTTTATGTTTGAATTAGCGGCTTTTATATGAAAGGATAATCAGTCGCTCAATTTACTTGTCTAACTACCGGAAAAAGCACGTACATTTTGTAAGCACAGAATTACCTTTAATACAATATATGAACAGCAACAACTAACACGAAATAAAAGTAAAATAACTATCTATTAACACCTATTTTTTTCAATTTTTAACTGGACATGTACTATTCTCTAATTTTCTTTTTTTAATTTTATCTTTATAACCTCTAAGCTATATAATCAGTTTAAGAACCACTAACATCCTCAAATTCCACTAGATTATTGTTGATGTACGCATATTGTTTTGAGAAAGCAGTGGATAGTATGGAAGCGACGATTATGATCTTCAACATCTAAAAAGTAAGTAAGTATTATAATAAATTTCTAGAAAACATCTTAATTAAAACGCATTTATGACATAAATATATTCACTTACCTTATTTATGTATTTTAGGTGTATTGTGTAATATATTTTAGAGTTTAACACTTGAATTAACTTAATTTTCACCGAGGATCACCTTAAATATAGCACAAATATTTTTAATGATATAATTAACTAATTACGTACAATTATTTAAACACTATGGGAAGTTAAATTGCGCATTAAACGTTCATTAGTTTTAACCTAACTAACAAGTGATTAATATAATGCAGTGCTTAGGCTAAGTTGGCATCCTGAAACTACATTCGGAGTGTTAAAAATTTTTCACTCTTCATATATATGTAATATATTATGTGGTGATGGGAACTTCTACAAAGCAATAATGATAACCAACTAACAAATTTTTGAGGCGTCTATAAGAAATGTGGTGTTTAAAAAGTTTTTTAGTTTCTATAGATTTTTTATTTCACACTAAACAAGGAAACATGTTTACTGATATTGAATAGTTTAGTTTCATTAAAATCTTTTAAAAGTAGCTCGTTTCTCTTTATTATTAAAGATTTGCATAATTAAATGTATTAAGAGAATATTAATAATGTGAGATTCCAAAGCCTCTTTCTTAAATCCAATAAGAGTAGCTTATAATATCAAGGACTCTTTAACTTAATTACAAATATAATAAATATAAAAAAAAAGAAAATTATACTAAAAGTCATTAAAAATACAAAATTAATACGAAATATAAACTAAAAACTTCTTTATGAAGAAATATAAATATATCAATTTGCTTCCGAAATAACTTATCTGAAGAAATAGAATCAATATTGAATCACAGTAGTGGAATTTTTTTTTTTTTTTTTTTTTTTTTTTTTTTTATGGCCCAAAGGGGCAAGCGAGCGGACGGCCCACCTGATGGTAAGTGGTTACCGTCGCCCATGGACATCAGCAACACAAGGGGTGTTGTAGATGCGTTGCCGGCCTTGTTTGGAAAGGAGCCACCTGAACACGTGATGTTTGAAAGACCCCATGTTGTAGCTCTCTGGAAAAGCCTCGGGCGGAAGATCATTCCACATCCTGCACGTGCGTGAAAAAAATGATCGCGACGCACGTACAGTCCTGCAACTGAATGCATCCAGATGATGTGGGTGAAATCCAGCCCTACGCCGAGTAGTGCGATGGTGGAATGTAGACGATGGCACTACATCAAACAGTTCCTCGGAACATTCCCCATTGTACAGACGATAGAACACACTAAGGGAGCTTACATCCCTTCGGAGACTTAGGGGTTCTAGATCGTCTGTGAGCATGGGATCGTTGACAATACGAACTGCCCGACGTTGTATGGAGTCAAGTGGAAGAAGTTGGTACTGTGGGGCACCGGACCAGAGGTGAGAACAATACTCCATGTGGGGACGAACCTGTGCTTTATATAACAAAAGCAAGTGTCCCGGTGTGAAGTACTGCCTCGCTCTACTCAGTACCCCTAGTTTTTTTGATGCTAGTTTAGCCTTGTCCTCCAAATGACTCCGGAATTGAACGTCGTTCGCTATGTCAACCCCAAGGATCCCAATGCTCTGTTTGATCTTAAGGGGAATGTCCTGGAACTTTGGAGCTACAGTAAATGGGGTCTTTTTAGTGGTAAACGCGCAAACTTGTGTCTTCTTGGGATTAAACTGAACAAGGTTCAGCTTACCCCATTCGGAAACCTGCTCCAGGGAGGTCTCAATTTCAGACACAAGTCTCTTTCTGCTCTCTTCTACTTGGTCACGAGGAATATTAGCTCGGCCCATGTAATAAGCGTCACAAGTACTGTCATCCGCATAGCACCGAATGTTGCTGGTATGCAGCATGTCGTTGATATGCAGAATGAACAGTGTTGGTGATAGTACTGAGCCTTGGGGCACGCCAGCGTTGATGGGCTTGGGTTCCGAGCAAGAACCGTCAACAACGACCTGTATGCTCCGCCCATGAAGGAAGCTGGCTACCCAGTTGCATAATTCCTCGGGTAGTCCGTACGATGGTAGCTTCGATAGAAGTGCGCGATGCCAGACCCGATCAAAAGCCTTTGCGATGTCTAGGCTGACCGCCATGGCCTCCCCTTTGCTCTCAATGGCTTCAGCCCATCGATACGTGAGGTATACTAGAAGATCACCAGCGCTTCGTCCGTGGCGAAAGCCATATTGACGGTCGCTAATAAGCTGGTTATCCTCTAGATAACCTAAAAGTTGCGTATTGATGATCCGCTCCATCACCTTTGAGAGTAGGGAAGTGATCGCAATAGGCCTATAATTGGATGGGTCTGTGCTGTCACCCTTCTTGGGAATAGGGTGGACATTGGCCACTTTCCACGAAGACGGAACTTTACCAGTAGTATAAGAGAGTGAGAATAGGCGCGTTAAGACCGAAGTCAATTCAGGAGCACACATCTTAAGCACAATGGCTGGGATACCGTCTGGGCCGCTGGATTTCTTGACGTCGAGGGATGACAGGGCGGCACGCACAGCGCTCTGCGTAAAACGCACATTGCGCATATTTTCCCTGCACCGCGGGATGGTAGGCGGTGCTTTTCCCCCATCGTCAAGAGTTGAATTCGACGCAAAAAGAGTGCACAGAAGATCAGCCTTCTCTTTTGCGGAATTAGCCAGCGTTCCATCAGGGTTGTGCAAGGATGGTAGGGAAGACTTACAGAAATTGCCTTGTACCGCTTTGGCGAGAGACCAAAAAGAACGAGTTCCTGAGGGAACGTCAAGTAGTCTCTCTCCAATTCTGCGAACGTGCTCCTTCTTTGCTCTGGAAATCTCCTTTTTGCAAGACCTGGAGGCAGCATTATAACCCTTTTTCAATTCGGACGTTTTTGGATCCTTCGCAGCTGATGCCGCAGCCCATGATCGATATTTCAACTGTTTCGAGCGTAACGCTTCTGTACAGGATTTATCAAACCAGGGCTGAGACTTACCCCCCGTGCGAATAACAGAGCTGGGAATGAAGCATTCCATTCCCTGCAGAATAGTATCCGCAACGGCGTTCGCGCAGATCGAAGGATCGTCCGAAGAAAAACAAAGCTGCCTCCAGGGGTAGGATGCGTAAAATTCTCGCAATCCTTCCCAGTCTGCCGACTTGTAGTGCCAAACTAGACGTCTTCCGGGTGGACGGGAAGTCGTGGTTGGCGCTAATTTTGTCTCGGAGTGCACCAGGCAGTGGTCAGATGACCCGAGGGGTGCATTGACGGACACCTTGTAGCGGTCCGGGCGAGTGGTCAGCAGAAGGTCCAGCAAAGAGGGGTTATGGTCCTCAACATCAGGGATCCGAGTGTGTTCTGGAACTACCTGAGTTAACCCATAAGCCAGAGCAAAGTTATTTGCGGCTTTTCCAGCGTAGTCTGTGGTACGTGATCCTAACCATTCGCAATGGTGGGCGTTAAAGTCGCCTAGGATCACTACCTCCGCGCTGGGATACCGCTGGAGAACAAAATCTGTAGCCTCCTGGATGTGTCCAAAGAGACGATCGACTTCGGTGTTACCACTATGGGACCTGTACAGGCACGCGTAGATACGGTTTGAGTTACCGTTGTACACTCGCACCCACATCACTGACAGGTCCTTATGTTCAAGGCTGTCAAGACGTTGACAACAAATATCCTCCTTGACGAATAAGCATACCCCGGCCCGCGGTAGAAAAAGGTGCTCAAGTCTGTAACCGGGGTAATGCAGATACGAGGTATCTTGAGGATTGGATATTTGCGTCTCGGTCAAAAATAACAAGGCCGGCTTAGCTATCTCTAGGTGGTGATGGACAGCATTAAGATTGGAGTGAATACCCCTTATGTTGCAAAAGTCCACTACAAACGTGGAAGGGGTTGCCGCTGTAGTGACCTTAATTACTTTATTTTGGACAGCCATATATATATTTTTTGTTCAGGAAGTGGGAGTGAAGGAAGGATGCTGATGGCCCATCAACTATCCTGTCAAAGAACATTGCCATTGATCTGAATTGAGAGCAGAGTTTTGTGTGTTACTGGCATGGGGCACGGAAGGGCCCCCGATCCGACCCGCGGTTGCAAACTGGGTTCCACCCCGGTCTCCCACTCCGGCACAGTCAGCAACCGACGGGCTTTTGGCATTGGCGGTGGGACAGCCTCCTAGATCGGGATAGTCTAGGTTCGGGTCCCCTACGGACCAACGGGCGGCCAGCGGTAAACCGTTTCATCGGGTCTCCCTGGACCCCATGCCAATGAAACACGCTCAACATCTCAAAACAGACTTCGACAAATGTAGGACAGAAAGTCAACAGACACATCAACATCCTGGGAGAGGGAAGGGTGGGGAAAGGAAAGGGCAACCGGCTCTCCCACTCATCAGACGAAACGCAGCCATTGAAGGCTACTTCACGCCGATCTTCTGTGGGAGGGTGGTACTTCCCCGGTCGAGCCAGCCCATGTTCGAACTGTAGTGACTTACCACAGTTAGGCTCTACCACCTGAGGAATAATATAAACATAAATAGAGGCATTCTGGATATTATATACAGAAACGTGGAAAATCATATTTTGCCTATGTGTAGGTATGTACGTGTACTTATGTGTGCGTTGTTGTGTAAACATTGAAAAGAAATAAATTAGCATTTTTTTTTTGAGGTTTAAGAGAAAAATGCTTAAAGTCCCAATTTATATGGTAAAAGTTAAGAAAATATACTTTTTTTCAAAACATTTTCTTTAATTAAATCATGTATTTAGACCAACATGGTTTTGATATTAAACACAGAATTTTATAATTTAGCGAAATTAGATCAATTTTATTTAAGGAGCTTTATTAAAACTAATACCTAATAAGTAATCCACAATAGTAAAATAGTACCCAATTCTTTAAAGATATGTAAAAGCAAATTTTAAAAGAGTCATTGTTTGTAGGTAAGTAATATGATGCTAATTTATTTCCAGTTGGTATGAGAAAAGAATTATGGGTTTCTGTAACGCTGTAATTTACAAGAAAAACATGAACGGTAATTCAAATGTAATGATCATTACTTTATTCTATTCATTACATGCATATTTTCAAAAGGAAATAAGTTGTCGAGACGTTTCAAGATTTGTTGATTTAATAAAACATAGAATTAGGACTAATATCCACCTATTAACGTCATATAGTAAATAATGACAGGCACTGAAACTAACAACACCGGTATAGTTAAATCACTTTTCCTATTTTATTAGAATTTATTTATTCAGAAATTTAAAATATATACATTTATTTCAGTAGAAAGTACCTCTCCGTTTTCTTGTTCCGGGTTCAACCATTTTAATTTTTTGATATTTGTCTATTGCGGTTTTCACAAAATCGGCAGCATGACTGATTTTTTCCAACCTCTCTGGTGTAATCAGCGAACGCATCTCTTCATGGATAGGCCCGACTCCGTTGAAGGTAATCTTGCATAAGTTAGTATAAGTACATACGCCTACAGTTAGGAAAGATCCTATCATTAATACAAATATACTGCTGAATATCCAAGCAATGGTTCTTCCAGCGTAGCTAACCAGGGTCTGAAAAAAGATAAAATTTCATTTTGAATCGTTATATAGCATTTTTATTATCAGTGGACAATTGTTTTTGTATCATTAAACTATACAGAATAAGAATAGAAGATATATTACCCTCGAATCAGGTACTTGGCTCCAAAGTAATCCAAAAGATGATGTGTCTGGTTCCATATAGTAATCAGATGGATTGTTGCCATATACGTCATAACTGAAATAAAGGAATGTGATTATAACAAATGACTTAAACATTTTTACAAACGTTAAATAGAATTTCTAAAGTAAAAAATATTTATTAAACTAAAAGTACCTGCTTTGTGCAGTATATCCGTTACTTGGATATCCATAACCTGGAGCGTAAGGAATATCTGGATATGCTACTTCTACAGGAGCAGAGAATGGAAAACCTGAATCCTGAAAATTATAAAAAAAATATTATAAAACCCTGTCACTAATTTAGCATAGATAACCTAACATCCTATAGATAAAAAGTATTGAACTCTTGTAACTATTATTAAATTTCGCCAATAATAGGTATTTCGAATAAAATTCTAAGATATAAATAAGCCTTAGTAAGTACACTTTGAACATAACATAGTAGCATACATATCCAACAATTCATAATATACTTACGATTCTATTAACTTCTGTGGCCGGAGCTGGTTCATCAGCTAACATATCATGTTTCACATTGCCTCCCTGAACTAGCACTTGTTCTATTCTTGCTCGGCCAGTACTTCTAAGTTCTTCTGATCTGTATACTGGATGACGTTCCAGGTCAAGTTTTGAAGGTACATTATTAATAGCGTGAGTCTCAACATCAATATCAGGCTTGTAAGGATCCTTGTCCAAATGTGATGGTATTTCAGCTGACAAGGCTGAAGCTACAATTACAAATAGTACTCCTATTTTGAACATCTGTAACAAAATCTTATTTTAGCTCACACTGTATTTAAGAGGCTTTAATTTCGAAAGACTTACCTTTCTTACTTCTGTATACTGTTGAACACTGAATCCAGGACGGGAATGATGGGTTGTTATCCCATGTCACTATTTATATTCATAATTTTAAAGAAAGGAATGAGACATTTAGAAATTTGGTTATCTCCAGGACATTGTTTCGCAATAATAAAGGATTGATAAGATATTAGTCAAATACTTGGAATGTTCAAAAAATAAATAGTTTAACGGTAAAATTTGTTCAGATATGTAATATAGATAATGATAGGAAATAATGTCATTTTTAAAATTAAATATGTCTACGTAAATCATCATCATCATTGTACCTATCATCAGGATATAAAAATGATTAAAGGAGAAATATTTTTTCAGTTTTGTAAGTAAGATAGGTATTTATAAGTTATAATATAAAATTAGATTGTTGATCATTGTTTCCTAGAAAATAATTATATTGTTACAGAAAATATAACAGGTAGTAAGATGTGTTTATGGTTATAATATGTTAACAAAAAGAAGCACTCCATGACTCAACATTTAACAAAGCGTTGAGATTGCTAGCTTTTGTCACAATAGCTCACAAGAATTAAACGACTTATCTTGTTCTAAATTATCTTAGGCAAACTATTCAGCAACGATTACAAAGATAAATTATAATGTCGGATGCTAAAATTTATATATTGGTACATATGTAGAGATACCTACCAAGATAGTAAGACTTTCCTCATTTGTAAAACCTAACTTCAAGAAGGTGAAGTAAAAACAAACCAATTTTATTAAAGTAACGCCTACTCTCTATAAATCATTGAATCAAATCGACAGTGTCCTATTAAGCCTTTTTAAAAGCATGGCAGTTTAAATTAACTTTAAAATTGCTTTATTTGAGACACAATACCTCACTCTTAAATCATAATGTAGAGAAATATCATCTTTACGCTTATTAAAGTGTCTCTAATATACTTTTGATTGTTGTTCATGTAACAATAAATTACTTTAGTGCAAGTGCAACATAAAAATATTATAATAAATACACACACACACATGTTAGTTTCACATGAAAAAATTACCAAGGTAACAGTGATATCTGTTATTCATCGCAAAGAAATCAATATATTTGTAACGAAACCAGCAGTATGAAAGTGCATTTCGGATTAACAAGTTCTCTTACCGCTTTACGTACTCCCAAAACAATTTTATTTCGTCTTCTAAACTAATGTTCATATTAAATATCATGAATTTTTTCGCACACTATTCACTAAAATTGTAATGTCTTAACATAAAAATACTTCATAAGTATTAGTTTCTTATTTTTTGGTGTATAATTTTTTTTTATTTTTACTTCCGTAGTTCACGTGATGTTCATACGATGTTTCATTGGATGACTACCTTTTAGATATCATACAACTACTTCAGTACCCCGCGAGTTCAGGGTTAAAACCAATCGATGTCCTTTAAAGTTTTAATGTGTAGTATTTCTTATTCAGTAATTTATTGATTAGTTTTAGCAATACATGAACTTGTCTGTGTCCTAGATCATAAGAACTATGTCAAGGATAAAGGATCGGTAAAGAGAAACTAGACATATATAAAAGTTATCCATATATAATAGAAAGCTGTTAGTTACACTGTTTATAACTGAAGAACGGCTGTAGGTATATGGTTGAAAATTGGCGGGGAGATAGCTTCGTACCAACTACCAGGAGATGGACACAGAATATATAATTCTCCAATATCAGGTTATTTGCGGCATCTAGGGCGAAATAAAGTCGCCCGGTCAGCTATACATATATTACTAATTCCGAATTTGAATCGAACGAAGTTGCGGGTAAAAACTAGTATTCTTATAATAGAGGGACTGGACCATCTTTACTAAGTTTTTCCATCGATATAACAAAATAACACCAAACTGTTTATTGGCATTATTTCTCAATTATTAGCAGCAACTTATCAATCATCAATATAACAGTCCCATAAAGATTTTATAAAATACAATATCAGTCGTAATGAGGGAGCTCGGAACTAAGTATTATTGGTACATTGCGTTACAGTAGTTTTGCCAACATATTTATTTTGTCTTAACTAACTAGTCATATCACTAACTAGGGTCTAGGCATTTTCGTGGATCAATAATTTTTCCGTCAATTTTAAAGCTTACTTATTTGTGATCAAGAATAGAAATAAAAGGAAAATCATAATTCAAGGGAAATAATGTTATGTTAAATTACGTAGGTATTTTTAGAAGAGTAGAGATAAAGTAAAAATAATTTTAAAATAATATAACCGTTAATAGATCTGTATGGCATATATTTTGTAACTGAGATAGATTATATACTGAAAGAGTTGAAAATAAATTCAATACAATTATAGAGCATATAGGAACTACATAATAATTATAAACTGAAAATATAATGATTTACTCCCATTATAACCATTAAGGGGAGAAATAATAAAATATTTTTTATGACACATGAATATTTCTTTAAATGTTTTTATCTTGTCAATTAAATCAAAAATTAAAAAAACCTCTTTAGCTAAATAAAGGCTGGGCATAATTTTCTCGTTTTTTCTTAATTCGGTATTAAATGTTCTCATGGATATTTACCTATTAAAAAATTCCTTTAAGACTTCTAAATTCCTAAATTAAATTTTAAATGTCAGTTAACTAACGTCTATTGTCTTTTTATGAATGTTATAAACGCAAACTGTTTACCTTAGAAATAAAATAATATTGTGACGAAATGGTTTCAGCATTTTCACAATTGTGTTGCAATATAAGTTTAAATAGGTATGTAAATATGACGTTGTTTTTAAAATCTATCTTAATAATATCTGTAAATACAATTACATTTATTAAAAGAATGAAATGAAAAATGGATTTGACAAAAATACCAAAAGACGTCCAACGTTTGATTTCTGCTTCTGCTTACATAAACACATTTACAAGAGCAATCGAAGAACTGGTAAAGAAAAACAATTTATCTCATTTTATTTTACAAATGTGTCATAGTTGTGTTTTTTAGTCAATAAAAATTATAATTTTTATTTATTTATATATAGATTTACAATTCACTTGATGCTGAAAGTACATCTATTGCAATAAGAGTGTCTATAAAGGAAAACTTTATTCAAGTAATAGATAATGGATGTGGTATAAAGTATGAGAATTTTTGTCTCCTAGGACAAAAATATACATCAAGTAAATATATTGATATCTGTACATTGAAATCTGACCCTAATAAATATGGTTATCGTGGTTTATCCTTAGCTAGTATTATAGATATTTCCCAGACTGTTTTTATAACATCAAGATATAATGAATCTGATTCAACATGGCTAAAAACATTTTGCAATGGAACAGAGAAAGATATTTGTATTGCATCAACAAGACCATCAAAAGGCACAACGGTAAAAATCCATATATTTTATATTAATTATTCTTATATTTTATTACATTAATTTTTTTAAATATTTTAGGTAGAAATCAGAGGATTTCTATACAATCTCAACATTCAAAGAAAATCAGTAAATCCGGTACATGAATTACAAAACATCAAATCATCTTTAGAGAAATTGTCATTAATTCACTGTGATGTATCAATTAGCTTAAGGGATGATTATAAGAATAAGATTATATTTAAAATGCACAAAAAAAGAGATATTTACCAAACTCTATGGTCTTTATTTGAAATCAATAGAGGTGATGTTCAAGAATTGCAAGTTGAAAAAAATAATTATAAAGCAAAAGCATTTATTGCCAAAGAAAATATAACGAAAACCAGAAATTTAAATCACCAATGGGTCTATTTAAATGGAAAGTTTGTTACAAAATCTGAAGTACATACAAAAATAAATAGAGTTTTTAAAAAAACTTTATATAAAGAACAGAAAATTACAAAAATTAAGGTGAGAGTAGACTTTGATTATTAATGATTCCTAAATAATACATATAATTATGATACATTTTAATTGTTTTAGAAAAATATTGATGAAGACAATAACAGTGATATACCATTTTATTTTATTTTTATATCATGTCCATTTTATGATTTTGACATAACATATAAGCACAAACAAATAATAGTTGAGTTTAAAGATTGGTCAGAAATAAATAAACTTATTGAGAAACTGGTACAATTTTACTGCGGTGACATAAAATTTAAGGAAACATTTAAAGAGAATAAATGTAATGATATAGACAATACTAAAATGAAAGTTAAACAAATTATTGATAGAATTATTAATAAAAATATAAAACAATCAGATATAAACTGCAAACATGGTGTTAAAGGTGGGTACACTGTAAATTACTTTCTTGGAGCTTCTGCTAATTTCTATTAATCATTTTGTTTTCAGGAAAACACATAAAACGTAAGAAAAAGACAAAAATCCAAAAACTTCTCAACAGTAGTCCACAGAAAATAGATAAACTAAAATCAGTTTCTAGAAATCATAACTTAAAAGAAAAATATAATACTAAAAATATTAAAACAAAAAAATGTGACCAATTAATGTTAACGAAAAGTAAAACTAAAAAAGATGTTAAAAAGATAACAAACACTAAAAGAAATAATAAAAAGAAATCAAAATATATCGATCCGATTGCACTTAAATTCAAAAATTTGACTGATAGCGTAAAAGATAGACGTAAAATATTGTCATTGGAAGCACGAAATTTAATTAAAAAGAAAGAGTCTGATACTAAAACTATTCAAATAACTTACACAGCAGAATATAACGGAACTTATTCGTATTATGAGGGAAAAGATGAATTAAATATTGACTATAGATTTGTAAGTAAAACAGATATCAGAGATAGTGTTATGAAAAACAATAGCGTTTTAATTAAACCTAAGACGTCGTATGATCTTATCAAACCGTTTAATCAGTTTGATTATCAGATAAAAAGATTCCCGGACACACAGACTATGCAATGTCAACAATCTTGTAAGTATTTTAAGCAGTATGTATTAGTTTATAGTATGCAATATCTTATTATATATATTATTGATGACAGAATTTTATTCTACAGCCCATCGTATATTAGATTCGGAAACATATAAATCATTAAATCCTAAAAGTACATTTGACAGTCACAACTGTCAAAAATACGCGGGGACAAAGAATATATTTACAAAACATTTAATCTGTACAAACACAACTGATAATGTACATTTGTATGAACATGATTTTTTAAATGAAAATTTAAAAAGATTTAGTGAAGATGGATATTATAATGAAAAGAGTTTAATAAAATATAATAATGCGAAAATGGCGTATACGATAAATAGTGATACCAGTAATAGAATTGTTATCAGTAATAATTCGTATTTAAATAAATATAGAGACAACGTTGAAAATAAAACAGATAAGATTAATTTTTTCGATTTGATTGATAAACGATTATCGAATAAATCAAATTTGAAGACAACATACGATAAAGAAAATTTTCAGGATAAAAGGAACAATAGTTTTAGTAAACCGTATCATGCATTGATAGGTGATAATTTAAGTGAAAACTATGAGATAGATTTTACGTACCTAAGTTATAAAAACTATGAAAAAGAATATATTAATGCTGTAGGAAATAACAAGGCATGGGTCAAGTCAATAGGTGAGGCACATGATAAAGAAGTGTCTCAAAGTTTAGATCCTGTAAATTATTGTGAAACTATATACCATAGTAATGAAATTAGTTTTGTTGCCAGAGATCTTCAACATAATAATTGTGTCAAAATAGGTCCTAATGACTCCAAATCCCCTGAAGATACTCATAAAGAAAATTCAAATCTCTTTCTGCTAAGTAATGAAGATATTCAACACCATCACAAAATAACTCAAAAACCAAATACTAATACGGAATTACACACTGCAGTAGAAAATCCGATTCAAGATTTAAATAGTTGTCAATTGGAAAAGAGTCATGGCTTCATGAAATCAAATGTCGAAATATATTTTGATGAGGAAATTTTTCCAAATAAAAACAATTTTAACCTAAATGAAACATATACTGTAATAAAAACAAATAATTTAAGGGAAAGCAATGACGTAAATTTGAACTTAATGAGTAACAAAAATTATACACAAGATTATAATAAAAGTAAAGTGAGGAATACAGAATTGAATGACAAAAACGAATCATCACATAGTTTGGATCCCATGAATTATTGCGAAACGATTTTTCGAAGCAGCGAAATGAGTGATATTGCCAAAGAATTTATGAACAGCTTTAACATTAATACAAAGGACTTAGGCTCTAACGAATTTAATTGTATTTCTAACGATCACAATGAAAATTTCAACATTAATTACTCTAATAATGAAAAAATACAAGACGAAGAAAAAATATCACAAAATTCAAATAATAATTCCAAACAGCATAGTGAAAAACAAAATTGTATTAAAGATATAAAAACTTTTGAATTGAAAAAACGTCATGATTTGGTGCCGAAAGGTATATTTGATTTTAGGGTAGTCAAAATTTGTTTACAATAGTTTTGGATTATATATTGTTAATTTTCTTTAGGTATGTCCCAAATCTACAAGACTAGACTGCAAAAACAAACTAATATAAGTATATCTCAAATAGACTATTACGAAAATGTAAGTTGTATACTTTAATAGGAATAATTTATACCAATATTAAAAGTACCTAATAATTGAAGTAACCTTCTTTTCAGATCATGTATGACAAATTTGCAGACGATGTTGTTGTTAAATCTAAAATATTTGCACCATCGATACAAAATGCTGAAGTCAATTCAAGGAAATCAAAGAATTGTGATATTAGAAACGATAATTTAATTTTTAACGCCACGTCTTTGAGACAGGCTAAAGTAAACAAGGGTATATCAAATTTAATTTTACAAGTTACGAAACTAAATTATGGATTTTCTTATATTTCAGATTCTAGGTCAAATAGATCGTAAATTTATTGCCGCAACAATTAATGGGAAGAAAACTGAGGTTAATGTAGATTTTTTGGTACTTTTCGATCAGCACGCGGTCGATGAGAGAGTTAATCTTGAAAGGAATTTAGCGGGTACATACAATTTTCTCATTTATGACACTATTCCCATGTAAATACAAAACTATAATTCTATATATTTAAATAGAATACTTTAATGGAGAATTCTGGCGTAGTGTTGAAGTAGATTCAATACCACTCAAGCTGAATGAAAACGAATTGTTGTATTTGCATAATCACAAACATAAATTGTCGCAATTCGGTTTACAATGGACATTTCAAGAGAACAAAATATTGATTAATTCTATACCTAAAGCAATTATAGGCAAAAATGACAGACAGGTATGTTATAAAACACTTAAAACATCTAACACATACATATATATTCATATATGCTAATGTGAACAATTTTAATTATAGGAGCAAATAGTTCTTAAAGCTGTTCACCGTCTGATATTAGAACAAATTGATGTCATTGAAACGATTGGTGGTAATCTAAATATATTCCCCAAAGCAATTATGGATCTTGTTTTCAGTGAGGTAATCATTTCTATACTAATTCTAGTAATATAATTATGTTAATACTTTGTTCATAGAATTTTAGTCATACAGTTATAAATGCTTATATATTTTTAGGCTTGTCGGAATGCAATTAAATTTGGCGATAACGTATCTATAAGTGATTGTACAACTTTGCTTGAGTCTCTTTCATCCTGCAAAACCCCATTTCAATGCGCCCATGGTCGACCTGTGATGGCAGTTCTAATGGAACTTCCTACTAACATTCGTAATTACAAGGTATAATCCTATTTTCGATTACAATATTCTCTAATTACACTTAACTTAAATATAACATTATTTCAGGTGGACAAGGAAAAAATTAAACAATTCAAATCACGTAAATATAATTCTAATAAATATATAACTACACATTAAAAATATTTTTATATATATAGTCCCTAATATTTATATACGACATGAGCCACAAGAAACTTTATCCATTATATTTTGTATCCATGGTATATAAGGTTGTATTCTTGTATGGACATCTGGAAAACCAACGGCACATGGTATTCCCCAAGAAACTATTCCAACCAGTTTATTGTCTTTAACTAGTGGTCCACCAGAATCACCCTGGAATAGATATTATTTTAAAATAATGAACTTCTCTTACATATTTTATTTGGAAGGAACTGATCTACTATTTAACCGTATTATAACGTAGACAATTAAGATAATTATACAGCTAGTTCTAGCAAAGAATCAAGAGTTTTAACGTTTTCATATATTATATTATAAATTAATTTGTGGGTAAATGTGAATTCAAAATTTATACGTGTTATTTCTAAACGAAATTATGGCTCTTACGACTTAGTATAAAATTTTTGTTTGTTTATATTTTAGTTATTTTATTGACGTTTTATTAATAAAATAAGAATGTTGGACACTCCATACTTATAGGTACAAAGTAGTAGATAAATTTTAGTATGAGTATTCACTACGCTTAGTCTCGTTTTGAATCAACAATAAATCGGAATTTCTGTGTGATAAAATATAAGGTAAATGTGTTATATAAAAAAGGTTTCTGATAGAAACGATATTTTGAAAATTTAAAAAAATCCCTTACGTGGCAAGTACCCTGTCCAATTCCTGTGAACGTACAGAACATGGTGTCGTAAATCTCTTTTGTGTATCGCATTGCATACTGACAAGTTTCCTGGCTGAATACTGTCAGATTTAAAGCGTTCATTTTGCGGGCTGATTCTCCATTCGGCTGCGAAATAAAATAATTTGAAACGTTTCTATTATTCTTTATTAGCTAAACAGAGTTACTTAAATTGTTATTAGTAACCCTAACAATTTATCTGTTTTCATATATACGACCTTTTTTAAATTTATTCTTCTACTGGTCATTATAAAATTAGATTATCTTTACCTTTTTCGCACCAAACCCAACGACGGTAACATTATCTCCTTCCTTTAATTTTTCGGTATCAAGTCGCAGCATTTTACCTTTGCATAAATTAAAAAGGCCCCTAATTTTTAATATCGCTATATCATTTAATCTTAGAGTGCTGTTATAATAATCGTGAACATGTATTGATTCAACTCTGTACATCAATCCACCGTTATCCAAATTAGCAGTTCCAATAACTACATGTATATATTTCGGGTCTGCGCTAAAATAAATAATCCAAATTGTATTTTAATTTATTTTGGATAATTATTTGGTGAGAAGAAATGACAGACTAGTTATTCAATAAAAGAAATGAATTAGGCTTTTGTTAGAGCAAATATTGAAAAGTAATTGTAATAACATTTAATACAATCGCTTGAAAATAGATATGAAGATCGGTCTAACTATATAGAAAGAAGATTTTATTCCAGTCAGAGATTTAAAGTTTCGTATGGTATTAATTACTTACTTGAAAACGCAGTGAGCAGCTGTAACGACATGCCTTTGAGATATTATAGCACCCCCACAGACATGATGTCGAGTGACATTTTGAAGTGATGCATGAAACTTTCCTAATTCAATAGGAATTCTCTCCCCACCCACTAATCGCGGTGTTCCTACAAAAGAAAGTATTAAAATAAGGCCTGAACTTAAAAATACTTGATAAAAAGTTAGTTAGATAACAGATTGGCCACATACTTACCCTCGACACCGACGTAAATACAGAAAATGGAAAAAAATATTAGTGTATTAGACATTACTTTATATATGTTATTTAAAAATATAGCAATTTAAACGCATTTAGTCGAACCGTCATCATAATAAAATAAATCACACAATCAATGATATCGATTTAATTTGATCAGTATCAAGTAAATGATAGAAATCAAAAGACCAGAAGTTATCGATTGGAATTATTACTAATGTATTTTTCCCTTTTAAATATATTTTGTTTTAAAATTTTCTTCGTTTTTTTTTAAGTAAATAGATTGCTAACAAATATGACTACTACTTCATCTTATAAATTTCCAATGTGAGAGAATAGAATATATTTTTGTAGTAGAGATATTTTAATTTTAGAGGTAAACTATAATTATGCGAAAAAAATATCGTTTTTTTTTGCATTGTTTATCAAATCTGTATAGTATTGAATTTTAGACACAGTTTCAAAAAGACTTTCACCTCCACAAATATTTTATTTTGTTGAATAATGGTCCTAATAATTATCATAAAATTATTGCACATCATGTTATACAACTTCAATGTGTCAATCAAATTCTACTCATGTACCGATGTACGGGTATAGAAATTGTTAGAAAAGGTTTACAAGAGCATTTCTGAATCCTGTAAAGACGGCATTATTGCCAATAACCATACCTGACTGACAACCTTCGGCGAAAAGAATTAGTTTTAAATTATTAATAATAATAAATTAAAATACATGTATACATATATAACCCAAAATAAGTGTATATTTAAATCAAAATGTACCGCCTTTTCAATAATGCATTATATAAGTGTACTTAACATATAAACAAAGCAGTCGGAGAATGATAAAAATTATTAGAGAATATGAACTCATAAATAAATTATTTAAACGTGGTATGAAGTCAAGTTAGAGATGATATGTACTCATAGCATATTTAGTTAAAAAAATAGTTTTGTTGTAAAATATATGATTAAAATATTTGTATTAAAAGAAATGTAATAATTTTTAAATAATCACTAAATAGAAAAGGACATAGGAAGTAAAAATCAATAAAAGTAAAAACAACAGATTTTCAATTTTCTACCCTATTTGTATATTTTTTTTGATGCGATATATTTTATTTTAGAATGAAGTCTTTATGAGGAATCAATACGCATAGATTAGTAGAAGTTTGACATGTTGACATTTGTCATTAATATTTAATCTATAATTCAGTCTGTCCAACTGTCAATCAATATCAAAAATAGTCAATATTAAATATTAAACTAAAAGGATCTGATTTGATTTTTAAGATTCATATTTCATAAGACTATATATTATAAAAGGGTAAATAGGTATGGATATTCTTAGGGCTGAAATAGCTAAAAAAAGAAAGCAGTTAGAAGAGAAAGATATTTTGGTGCGTTGATTGGTTTCATACCTGTGTAAGATTAATATTAATCATACAAATTTATATTAATCATTCAAACTCATGTAATAAATGTCTTTTTACAGAAGCCATCAAAAAAATATTTTAAAAGAAGTGAACTCCTAGCTAAGGAACATGAAGAATATTTGAAAAAATATGGTCCAAGTATTACCGATAATGAAGAGAACAATGAGACAGAAAACGCTGAGAAAGGTTTTTAACTTCTTAGAGCAAACCAAAATTTATAATAGCCTGGATATTCTTATGAACTTACCTTATTTTATCAAGTTATATAAATCAATACATTTTCATTTTAGCCAAAAAGCAAGAGAATGAAAGTGAACAAACGGAAAGTATATCATTGCCAAGAGCAGAGGTTGTCAAAAGGTTAAGGGATCGCGGACATCCTATAATATTATTTGGTGAAAGTGAATTACAATCATTTAAAAGATTGAGAAGAATAGAAATTCAGGAACCAGAAGCTAATAGGGTAAGACGGAGAGTCATATTCATATAATTTAGAATTGTATGTTAGTTTATTATTCTGTGTATTACATATGAAAAGAAGAAACAAGTGGATATGTATTTTCAATAACATTGCCATATATAAAAGAATTAAGAACAACCATAATGTATTACTCTATTCTAAGGGAGTGCTCAAGAATTATGCAATTTAATTCATCTACCCCCTTTTGATTGTTGGATAGTCAGATGCATGCATGCATTATGACTTTCCCCATATATATGTCCATAAACAGACAAATCGATAAATTTCATCCTTCCTCATACACACAGCAATGGATCGGAATAGTTCTAAATCTGTATCTTCAAGTCAAAATTTAATAAGCTATACTTGGGACAGTTAATTTACAACATTCTACCTCAAGCATTCCTACTATCAAGTGTAATTGTAGTCAAGCACTATCCTGTGTGTAGAAAAAGAAATTTAGTAATTTTTATGATGAATTTGTATTACATACTATAAAATTGCAGTAATGTCTTGAAAATAATTTAAAATGTTTTCTTCGTTTGATTCAGGGTTTTAGAAATGATTTCCAAGAAGCTATGGAACAAGTAGATCAGGCATATCTAGATGAAATATTGGCATTGGGTACTCAGGTAATAATATTCCAATGATAAAATTAGTAATTTGATGTTAATAACAATGTTATATTAAACAATCTGTTTTCATAGAATGACAGTGAAAAACTGCAAAAGGAAGATGCTCTAGATGATTCAGTTACATATGAATACATACAGGAAATGTCTGTAACTATGGGAAAAGGAGATAGAAACCATGATATGAATGTTATCATGACATTATTGCAGGTAAATTGAAATTTATGGTGTTAATATATGACATATGGTGTTAATATATACATAACTTGTACTTAATATACTTTCCATGATTTATGTAGGTTTGTTGTAATCATCAGACAGTTGTTAGGCCTTTTCTATTATAAAATTTCAATATAAATTTCAATCTATATATATAAAAATGGATTGCTGTTCCTTAGTCTCGCTAAAACTCGAGAACAGCTGAACGGATTTATCTTATCTTAGTCTTGAAATGTTCGTGGAGGTTCAGGGAAGGTATAAAAGCTAAAAAAAATTGATTCATCACTCTGAAAACCATAAAAACAGCCCTTTTCTATTTCCCATACAAACTTTTTTTTGACAGTAGATTTGACAACTAACTAATATATCAATCATTCTGTCACACTTCAAAACACGGAGATTTATGGCTTACAGGTAAACTCTTAAAATATAAATAAAAAAACGTAATAGATATTTCTTCATTATAGGGCGATACGAAGTTCGCCAGGTCTTCTAGTATTTCAATATAAATTGTATTTCCTATAATTATTTTCAGTATATTACTTACTTATAGAAATTAATTAATTTATACAGATCTCAACCTCTGTTAAAATTACTTTTGATTGTGTCATTCAATGATCAGTTGCATAGTTTTATCAAGTGTAAATTTGTACTTTCTAGTTTCTACTCAAGCTTTGGGGACAACAGCTAAATGCAGCCACAGGTGATCAGAAGACTGCAATAAAACACAAAATGACAAGGGCAACATATACACAAACCCAAGTTTATCTTAAACCTTTAATGAGGAAATTAAAAAAGAAAAATCTTCCTGAAGATATATGTGACAGTCTTACAGAAATAACAAAACATTTGCTGGATAGAAATTATATTATGGTTTGTAGAATAAATGTTATTACATTGTTATTTCAAATGGAATTCAAGTAATCTAAATATTAAGTTAAAAAAAAAAACAAACTTCCGTAAATAAACCCTTTCCGAACTTATGATACATATATTTATAATTGCAAACTAATGTCAGAATCACAGTATTAATACAGATGATTTTGTTGTTACTTATTTCATGACTTAAGGTACATAATACGATATACATTGATGGTTATTCATTTAGAAATGCACTTGTTTATTATTATCATGTATTTGAATAAAAATGTAAAAAAATATTGTTATATATCCAACATTATTGGTTGTATCTTTTTTCAGGCAAGTGATGCTTATCTACAGATGGCTATTGGTAATGCACCATGGCCTATTGGTGTTACCATGGTTGGTATCCACGCACGTACAGGTCGTGAAAAGATTTTCTCAAAGAATGTGGCTCACGTGATGAACGATGAAACTCAGAGAAAATATATTCAGGCTTTGAAGAGATTAATGACAAAATGTCAAGAATATTTCCCAACAGATCCATCTAGATGTGTAGAATATAGTACCAATAAGTGAATAAATTTCACAAATTAGATTGTAATAGAATTAAATAAAAATTTTACTCTCCCCTTATAGTTTTTAATTTTTCCTTATTTACATTTATGAGCTCTATTTTTATATTTTGAAGGAAAAAGTTTTAAGCTATGACTAACATTTGAATATAAACCATAAATTTCAATTTAAGCTTTCATACATGATTTAAGCAATATTTTAAGTAGCAATAAGAATTTCCGTGTGATTCATGAAAACTTTTCCCACGAATCTTTTAAAACCAATTTTCGATAGAGATATCACTTCATTCATAATATTATCGTTGCAATTGCGTTCAGCAAAGCGTTGTGAAGATCAGCAGAGTATTGTTTACTTTTTTTTAGACAGTTAACAATTTTGTTACATCGCAACATTTCCAAACCTATCGCTGATGCAAACCTATGAGAGTTTAGAGTAAAAAATAAAAATGTTATCAAAATTTAAAAACCGTTTGATTCTGTTTCAATTACCTAATACATTTAAGTATCCGTTTACTAATACATATAAATAATAATGGTTTATATTAATCCGTAAAGTTTGAATTGTAAAGAATAATTTAGAATACTTAAACTATCAAATAAAAAATTGAATTTAATATTTTTACAAAATATAATTATTTTATAGTTATCTGTTATATTCCGTAACGAAAGATTTCGAAAAAAATAATTTGAATCCCGTGCGGCTAAATATTAAGATATATTCATCTGTCAATTGTCAGGAAACAGCGCGGAAATTGAAACGTTGACGCTGGCTTTTTGAAAATTTTTATTATTTTTAATAGTTTTATACTATAATTTGCAAATTTTTGTTAAGTTTATTTTAAAGAAGTAAAACTTAGTCTGTATATAAGTGTTTATGTGGAGAGATGGTGAAAAAACGTAAAAAGAAGGATTCGGGTGAGTCCTTGAATTTCAGCACAAGCAGCGATTCCGATTGCCGGTTCCGATTGCAGGATTCGCCAGTATTGCAGGATGCAAAAGCCATCGCTCCCTTTAGGGCGCTGATTATTGTCGGCGATACCCTGAAGATGCGGAAGCCAAGTCTGAATTCATAGTATTTGTCGAAAGTACTAAATGATGTCCCACTCGGTAATACTGACATGATGTCGCTTAGTTAGTTTCGCTACTAGTTTCATACGCTCTGTGAAAGGTATACAATATTAAAAAAAAAAAAAAATATAAGGTCGGTGTTGTTTTCCAACGTGCGAATTTGGCAAATGCCTTTTTAGAAAATACTACATATCTAAAGGAACAACGACTTAAAGCTTCAATACCAGCAGGGGCCACTGAACTATCGGGAGTTATCTCTTCGGTTCCCACTCATCTATCCAATCACAAAATATATAAAGCAATATCAACAACAAAAAAAGTCATTTCTGTCCGACGCATAATGTGTAAAGTAAAAAGAGAAAATAACACCTTCACACTGCAACCTACTCAGAGCGTAGTAATAACTTTTGCGTCTGCTACGTCACTGCTGGACTATGTTCACATTAAGATGTGGTGCCTGCCTGTCTCCACATATGTCCCACCTATAAAACAGTGTTTTAAATGTTTACGCTATGATTATCTGGCTAAGTTTTGTAAAAATTCACCGCGATGCTCAATATGCACAGAGGGGCATTCATTCAAAGAATGCAAGGTTAACATTGAAAAAGCTAAGTGCGTTAATTGTAATGGCAATCACATTGCCATCTCTAGCCAGTACCCTATAAGGCAAAAGAAAATCGCAAACAGTAAACCCTAGTCATATGCTGACACGTTAAAAGATTCATTAAATTTTCCCTCCCTTAATAAAAAATTAAACACCCAAGAAGTAATCCAAGCAATACTATCAAATTCCGAAGCAATGACTCTATTAACATAATCTAAAGTAGAAGTTATAACTTTAAATAAAACTCAAAATATAAGCATTAGTTCACAATTTATTAGCTCAGCTATTAAAGAAACCATCCAGGACAAAAATAGCAAATCGTCACATTCAACCACCAAATCTTAAATATTGTACAGTGGAACGCTCAGTCTGTTAAGTAACAGACTTGAGTTTCAAAATTTTCTATACCAAAATAATATACATGTAGCTCTTATTTCAGAAACTTGGTTCAAGCCTAGCATTCAATTTAATTTATGTGGTTATACCATTATTAGGAATGACTGCGGTAATGATCATAATGGCGTAGCAATATTAATTAAAAGTGGAATACATTTCTCTAAACTAGATACTTTTTATGATGATTCGTTACAAAATGTAGGAATTGTTATTATACTGAAACATAAATACATTTCTTTGGTTAGTTTTTACAGTCCTGGTAGTAGTTTTCCTGCTTTTGAAAAGACGAAGTTCGATCGTTTATTGTACAGTATTCCAAAACCGTTGATAATTGCAGGCGATTTAAACGTCCATCATACTTTTTGGGGTTGTAGTCGCATAGATTCTCGGGGCAGAGTTTTTATGGATTCCATGGATGACCATGACTTAATACTTTTAAATAATGGTCAACCAACAACTATAGGCTCTCATATTTGGAAACCAAACAGTCTAGATTAAACTATAAAATAAATGTTAAAAATGATATGAAAAAAGGTCTTTAAGAAGCCGGGGCGCCAAGCAAGTGAATACATATGACATAAAGAAAGGAGTTGAGAAAATACATTCCCAGAGGATTATTAACCACACACTCATTGATTTTGTCAACAAAGCCTTTTTGATCATAATTCAAGATAGGAGTTTTTGTGTCAAATGCCATGAGCTCCATGAATAATTTGCGCAGGACTGCAAGGAGGCCCTCATCTCTCGAATTGCCCAACCAAGACATCAGTAAACTCTCAACTATCCTCACTTTAAACCAATCTCCATTCTGATTAAGTAATGCATCACTCATGGTGTTTAACTGGTTTATGCTCAAAGCCTTGTTAAACACCATTTCCCTCAATGAGTTGCAGGTAGCAAATAGTGCGTTGGGATTGAAAGCATAGTATGAGCTGTCTATCTAGTTCACCGCCGTCTTTCTTATCACAAATGAGTTCTTTTCTCCTTTTACCACCACGCAGTTGGGAAGAAACCTCCACATTTTTCCCTGAATGAACACATCACTGGCCGTTTCCATGGCAACGAGGTTAATTTTGTCAGTGGGACTCCTGGCATGTTGTGGGCCCCTTATCATTATTCCCGACACAGCTCTCGCTGTTGATTCGTTGTGCACTGTTGCGTATATCGGCATCATTGATGTGAATGAGTGAGGGTTCTTAACACTTGAGCTGTTTAGATACGATCCCCCCAGCCTGGACCCCAAGTTTATGTATTTTGATGTCATTGATGCGGCTTTTGTTTTCTTAAACATACTAAATATTGTGGATATGGCTTTTCTTGAAGCTTTGCTTATCGGATGATCGGGAACGGTTTCCCCTAATTCTAAGTTGGGGAAGGGATGCATGCTTGTGGGGCTATCCTTTACAAGGTCATCTATAACATCCGTGAACCATCTGTGTAGATACCTCTTAACAATAGGTTTGCTCTCCTTTTGCACCATGTCAGGGCTGAACTTGCTCGAATGAACTTTTCCCTTCCGATCAACTCCTAAGGACTTCTTCAAGGGGTTTGCATCGTCCTCATCTCTTAGATTTTGCTTGAACTTAAAATTCTCCATCACTTTGCCTGTCTCTACCTCCTGACAAAGGTCATCAAATAATTCAAATAGGGAATCCTCCTTTTCACTTTTGTACAAACAAGTCTTCCCGTTCCTAGTTGACTCATACATAAGTCTGCAGTATCTATTTATCATATTGATGTCTGTTGCATCATCCCAATAGTTGTTGAGAACCCATCCCTCGGGTAAGATTTTCCCTTTCCATAGGACAGGCTGACTAGCATGATTTAGAGGGTCCGCTAAGTTTTTCTCCAGCTGCTCCAAACAGAAAGGCTTTAAGAGGCTCGACGAACTTGAGCTGCTTGTCTTTTTCATGTTGGGTGGGGCTAAAAGCTCTTTATGTCTGAGGAACGAATTCATCCATGTTTCAAATTCTATCATGAATTCATTATTGCAAAAGATTGAACTGATAATGTCTTCTTCCTCATGTATCTGGTGATCTGAAATCCCCAGCTCTCTCATGACTTGACACCGGGCCAGTATGAATGAGGTCACTTTATCTTCTCTCTGAGCTTTCAATTGCCTGGGATAGTATTTAATTTTCCCTGTTGAAGGGTTCACAATTACCAGGACAGAATTGGCTTCCATTCCTACAGCCTTGCTCCTGAATGTGTTGGCTGCAGTATCGCTCAACGTGGTGACTTTCACCTCTATGAATAGTTTGTTCTCTATGTCAATGATGTCCCAATTACTTGTAACAGTGAGGTTCCACTTCTTTGCCCAATGATTCTGAACCTCAGCCTGGTTAGGGATTCCTTCAATGAGGACAAATCGGTAAGAACAAGGGGGATCTGCTGGTATGGAGTCTTGCTCAATTATGAAGTCTTCCTGGTCTTCGCTACCCATGGATATCGCGTCCTCGTCATCTGATATTTCCATTTCAGCTGGGTGGGTGCTCCGTTTACCTTGCTGTGAGGACCTGGCCTCTCTGTGGGCTTCATCAAAGAAATTGGTGTTTGCTTCCAAATTGCATAGTAGGGCGCAAACCATATCGTGTCTAAGGGATAACTCTCACCTTCTCCAACTTTCCTTAAACCAGTGAAGCCCTTGTTTACCATATACTTCGACAAATTTCTCACTATAAAGTTCTTTCCTCTTGATCATAGTCTCATATACAGTGAAACCTGGTTAAGTGAGACATTAAGGGACCTGCAATTTCGTTTCGCTTATAGAGGTATTCCACTTACCCAGAGTCTCAGATATACAGGTATAAATAAATATCTGTCTCATTTACAGAGGGTTCCAATAATAATTAATATTCTCATATACAGGTTATTTCAGTTATACAGGTGCAATCATTAAATAAAATAACGTGTTGTGTGTAAATGAGTTTTAATAAAAAGGTTTTAGTTAAAGGTAATCATACAAATGTAATCAACAAAAATATTCAAGCACGTTTTTACACGTAATATGTACTTAAAGGTAATCATACAAATGTAATCAACAAAAATATTCAAGCACGTTTTTACACGTAATATGTACTTAAAGGTAATCATACAAATGTAATCAACAAAAATATTCAAGCACGTTTTTACACGTAATATGTACGAGTATGGAAACAGAATGTATCAATTATAAAAATCTGTCTTTTTAGTTTGTCGTTTGGAAGTATCAGATGTTTTTCGATGTTATAAATTCTATCAAATATGCTTTGGTCACCAATTGATGACATTTCAAAATAACTGTGCAAAGTTTCTAGTGCTTTTACTGCTTCGCGTTTAGAAATTTTTACTAAATTTACTTCCGCGCTCATTTCATCGTCTCTTTCTTCGTTTTCCAATGAAGAAGACGAGAAGGTATGAACAATGTCGCCTTCATTAAGTTCTCCTGAAACTATTAAACCGTCATCGACGTTTATAAAATCTTGGAATATTGGCTGTTGATTATTGTCGTTGCTGATGGCTAAGTTCCAATCTTCAGGATCAGTTTCTAAATTTTCGTCCTCCTCTTGTAAGCTTTCAGCTACAGTTGTACATTGGTTTCCTCCTCCATCATTTGCAGGATGGAGGACACTATGGTGTCTTCTTGTGACTGGCAAGTTCATCAGGACCCTTTAGGCAGTTACCATCTGTCAACTATCACAAAATTTACTCTCGTAAGAGATCAACATGAGCCCTCTATTTCCTTGAACAACATTCCTTTTCACAGCAATCTGAAATTAGTAAATTGGGATAGGTATGAACAAATTGTTAATAAAATGTTAATGAACTTTAAAGTTGACAATAGTGATCTCCTTAACTCATACAGAAAGTTTTGTGCAATTATTCTATTGGAAATCAAATTCTCCGGGCCCAGCTTAAACCATAACACAACTGATACTAATAATAACCGTCCTAGAAAAAGGTGTCAAGTGCCTTGGTGGAATGATAAATGTTCAAAAGTAGTGGAAGACTGCAAGAACGCCGACATTAATTTCAAAACTAGTCTTAATAGTAAAAATTACATTAATTTCAAACGCGCACAAGCCTTTAAAAAACTCACTTTAAAAGAAGAACGTTGTAAAAGTTGGTCTGAATTCTGCTCATCAATAAATCGTGTGACATCTATAAATCGCATTTGGACTAAAATAAGAAAATTTAATAAAAGCTTTCCAAGTTCTAACTTATTTTTTGACCTCAATTGGGTTCAAACATTTTTATATAAATACACACCGGATACTGTTTCACAAACGATAAGTATCGATAATGTTCTTGGAGTAAATAGTGGTAATTCATACATGATTGGTTGTTTTACTATGCAAGAGTTAAAATCTGCTTTAGCCTCAAGAAAGGATTCTTCATGTGGCCTGGATTGGCTTTCCTACAGAATGTTTAAACTTTTAAATGTTCAAACTCTATCTATTTTTTTAAGTCTATTAAATAGTATATGGTCATCTTCTATTATCCCAGAGGATTGGAAAACTGACTGTGTGGTACCAATATTGAAACCTGGAAAAGACTTTAATTTGGCTGATTCTTATCGTCCTATTACACTGAGTTCATGTGTTGGAAAAATTTTCGAACAATTAATAAAACAGAGATTAATTTTTCACATAGAAAGTAATAATCTTTTACCTTACAATCAGTTTATCTTTCGTTGTGGCCGTTCTGCTTGTGAGAGTCTACGTCATTTCTGTCTGGATATCCACGATGCTCATTCCGAGAATAAAGTACTAGTTGGTGTTTTTCTTGACATTGTAGGGGCTTTCAATAATGTAGATCTCGACAAATTATCCTCAATATTATTATTACTACAGGTACCTGGAAAAGTTGTAAATTGTATTTTTAATTTTTTGAACTACAAAAAGGTGTTTGTTAAGGTTAACAATCAGTTATATGGTCCAAGATATTCTTGTAGGGGTGTATCACAAAGTGGTGTATTGAGCCCATTGCTTTTTATCCTATTCATACATCAGCTAAATTTAACTCTGAGGTGTGAAGTTTCTAATCTGCAGTTTGCAGATGATTTAGTTGTTTATTGCTCTGATACTAATTTTTTACGTGTACAATCAGACCTTAATGTTGCTCTCCAAAGACTAAAGAACTATTTTGATAGCCTTGGGCTGGAGGTCAGCAATGACCAAAGTAAAGTTGTTGTCTTTTCAAAACATGGAATTAGAAATGGGAATGTAAATATTTTGTTCAACAATAATGTAATGTCTGTAGAGAGCTCTGTAAAGTTTTCAGGTGTTATTTTTACAAACAATTTTAGATGGAATACGTACGCTGAAATTCTAGAATGTCGAGCTTTAAATGCTTGTAATGTTTTAAAATCTTTAACAGGCACATATTGGGGTGCTGATCCAAGGATTCTATTAACATTGTATAAATCATTAGTAAGAAGTCATTTTGAATATGCTTTTTTTTGTTTTGCAGAGGTAAGAACTATAGTGGATAAATTAGAAAAGATATAAAACAAATGTTTGCGTATTATAATGGGTGCCATGCAAACTACTCCCATAGTGTCAATGCAGGTGGAATGTAATATACCTCCATTAGCACTTAAGTTTAAATACTTACAATCAAAATTTTTTGCAAGGTTGCTCTCCGTTAGTAATCATCCACTTCTTGTTAAACTGCGGGACACTATTAACAGGACTGCCAATATTAATTCATATTTGTTTCAAGGTTTTTCTGAAACAGAACAAATTTTTAATAAACATAATATATTTTCTAGCATGGTATGGCTTTGTTTCTATGGGTTATATGAATCAAAATTTATTCATATAAAAATTGTAGTCAAAAGTCTTCTAAAGTATAAGGAAGACATTTATAGGTGGCAGGGATATCATCAGATATATATAGATGGGTCTAGCAACAATGAAGCAGTCTCTATAGCTACCTATGATAGTCAGGTCATAAGTGGATTTGGTCATAGGCTGAATCCACTCACAAGCATATACTCCGCTGAATCCATAGCTGTATACACAGCTATGGAGCACATTCAAACACAGACTCATCAAAAGTAGATTATAATAACGGATAGTTTAAGTTTATTAACAGCATTACAAAATCCACAATTAAAATCAAAAACTAACTATATTATATATAAAATAAGAGTTGTATCACCTACTGTCTCAAAACAAGCAAATAGTCCTATTCTGGACACCAGCCCACATTGGTGTGCATGGTAATGAGCAAGCAGACTATTTAGCTAAATTTATAACAAATCCGGCCCACAATCAATTAAGTCATAGTTTTTAAAATTTTCCAATTCCTTATTCAGACGCTCTATCTTTTTTCAAACTCACGTTACAGAAAGAATTTTACAACTTATGGCATCAGGTGGTAAAGGTAAAAGGAAAATAGTTAGCTACAATAAAGAAAAAGGTCTCTTCCCCCTGGTTTACCCGGGGTAGTGAGTATAGCCATAGAAAGTATTATACCACAAGCTGTCGTTTGCGTCTGGAACATTGTCGTTTTGGTGCTCACCTTTTTAGGATTGGTGTTTTTGACTCTTCAACTTATAGATATTGCAATAATGCTGATGAAACCCTCGAACATATATTTTTTGATTGTCCACAGTTTAGTATTCCAAGGATGGTCCTTGTAGACCAACTTTTAAGTATTTTTAAAACTGCTGAAGATATCTCGCGCTCCCTTCAGCAAATACTAAGCATTCAAGAATTCTTCTTGCCAGTTTATGGCTTTATTGTTTCTACTATAAATGAAATCTAATTGTTATTTGTACATATGTATATAATACTTATTTGTTCATATTGTTTAAGATATTTGCTGTCAGCTATTTACAGAATTTGAATTTTGACTGTTATGTCAGTGTTGCCAACCTCAAAAAACTAAAAAACAATAACTCGCCTAAAAAAAACAGTAGAAAGCGGTAGGTGAAGAAAAAAGGCAGATTTCATAATTTTGCTCATATAATTAAATAATAAACAACTTTCTTAGTTACTAGAATTCATAAAAATGTATATATTTATAATCAACATAAAAGAAAAATCAAAGTAAAATTATTTTTCAGTTTTATTTTCAATTACCTCATCTTCAATATTTTTGTTACGTAGTGATTTGTCATTGCGTTTTATTGCGTAGTGGTTATCAAAAAATGTTTGTATAGTAGTGTATTAGGTGGCCCTGAACGCAAAAACAGTAGAAAATAGGAATGAAACAGAAAACATGGTCATCAATGTGAAAACAGCAAATCTACTGTTAAAACAGTAGGGTTGATAATGCTGTGTTATATCGATTTTGACAAATTAATTATTGTACTAAAAATGACATTACAAGGACTTGACATTGAAAAAAGACGGAATGTAAAAAAAACAAGAATTTGACAAAAAAATATTTTAAATAAAGACAAGGCATCGGCCTTATAATTAAAAAATAATTCAAGAAGATAAATTAAAAGAAGACATGGCTTCGGCCTTAAAATTAAAAAAAATGTTTTAGGAAGAAAATTAAAAGAAGACATGGCTTAGGCCTGATATAAAAACTTGAGTCAAGAATAAAAAAGGAGATTAAGACATTTAAAAATAATTAAATATACTAAATACAAAAGACATGGCTATATGGGCTTTGTTCTCTTTGCCTGTTCTGAACGGAACGAACATAACCAAAAAAAAAATGTCAATTGTCATTTGTAGAAACTATAAACATTCAAACTTTTTGAAATACCAAACAATACACGACTATTTTGAAATGATTACTATTTTAATTAAGAATAAAATCTTAATATAAATTTATCCTTTAAATGGTACAGATTAATTTTATTACATTAAATTTAGTGTTTTATTAGGTTACCTCATATAATGTTCTTAGAATATCTAAAGTCGTTTCATTTACAAGATTGCTTGAATATTTTAAGCAATGCGGATCTATTGGGTTATTTCTCCATAAATATTGAGTAAGTTTAATATGATAATATAAATGAATGTAAGATGCGTATATTTTTAATTCAATCTTAATTTATTTTTTAGTTTCTTAAAACTATTTGAAACATACCCCGACGTCGGTGATAAAGTATTATGCAGTCCTGTAAAGACTTTACCGGCATGTAATTCAGATATAATAAAACTTCAGCAGAAGATTCTAGAAGATGACAAATTTAATTCTCTTATTAGTGAATTGCAATTTAAATACCTAAAAAGAAATGTACATGCACGATTTTTTGGATTACCTGTGTGTCCTGAATTGCATAGAACAATATTTCCCAAAAATGTTGATCTGGGATGCTTTTTAAAAGTTAGTGGTAGGTGCTTTTATGTACATGTCACACCTCCGCTCAAATAGTGTCATAAGTCAAAAATCCCAACTTTCGAATAAAACGCGTTTGAAGTTAATGCTAACTTTACTTTTCGGCTCATCACTCAAAAACTGAAAGTTACTGCAATATGATTTTAAGTAAGTTATAATGATTTTTGACACTCAAAAAAATGGTGTAATAGATTTTTGGATTATATTAAAAAAAAATAACAATTTTTGAGTTGTGACACTTTAAGGATGAAAAAAACGAATAATTTACGAAATATTGTTTATTTAAAGCGTTCCAAAAAAAAACTTATTACGACATTATTTGAGATAAGATTTCGAAGTTTTCTGATTCCAATAATGCAATTAAATTGAATTCAACTTTTTTTGAGTTGTGACACTATTTGAGCGGAGGTGCGATGTGGTGTTAAATGATTAATATTTTGTATTATTTTATTTACTTTTAGATTCTATTTTTTCAGGCACAGTTGTCCGTATTACACAGTCTAAAATGTTAGAATATCAAAGAAAGTATGTGTGTATGAAATGTAAATTTGAAAACACTATTGAAGCAGATTTTGAGAATAGATACATCTTGAGAGCTCCAACTAAATGTGGAAACACTGAAATGAGATGTAAATGTTCTACTTTTACTCAAATTAATTTGGTTTCTAGGGAGCATTGTAGAGATTATCAAGAAATAAAAATCCAGGTACCTTTCAAAACTTATTTTAGTGTTCTTCTTCTACCTGGTAATTTCCCAGCTATAGCCAGGGTCTGTCTTACATGTTGTGAATAACCTTTAAGCACTAGGCCACCACTGACCTCTTAGTCTTAAAACTTATTTTAGTATGACATGTTAATGTTATAATAAAAAAAATTGTTTAAAGAAAGATTGATATTCTTTTTATTTGCAGGAACAAGTTAATAAGCTTAGTATTGGGACAATTCCAGGGTCAATGTGGGTTGTTCTGGAAGATGATCTTGTTGACTGTTGCAAACCTGGAGATGATGTGATCATATGGTAAAAATAATTGTTTAATGAGTTTTTAATGTTATAGTATCAAAATATGTATGTTATGTATTATTTTGGATTGAACCTTCTCATATTGCATATGGTTTATAGTATGGCAATTTGGACAGCTTTTATTTGACAATTATATGTTTTAGTCTTCAGCAATTTATCTTATTTTAAAAAAACTACATATATGATTTTAATGTTAGGCCAAATAATGTTACAGTGGCATTGTACGTCGCCGTTGGCGTCCACCAGTAAACAATAAAAAATCAGAAGTTGAAATTGTATTACAAGCCAATTACATTGAAGTCAGTAATTCCCAGAAATCAGAAGCTATAGCATCGGCGCCGGATGTTAAAGACTGTTTTGATGAATTTTGGTCTAAATATAAACAATGTCCCTTAAAGGGAAGAGATCAAATTTTATCTTCTGTATGTCCTCAGGTTGGTAATGATTTTTAAATATTTTTATAGCATTAGTGAATCCTAATGTATTACACTCACAATGTAAAATATTTTTTAAGGTTTATGGGCTCTATCTGGTAAAACTAGCTGTTTTACTTACAGTTATCACTGGTTCTAACCATATTGTTGAAACCAAAAATTGTATTGAAGACAAACACACCATGCATGTTCGTGGACAGTGTCATTTGTTGCTTGTTGGAGATCCAGGTATAGATAGATACACATTCTATTTAAAATATTATATGGAACACTTATTTATTTATTTATTTATTTATTTATTTTGAACGGTTCACACAACAGATTACAACTAAATAAGCGAATAATTAATGAGTAAATATTATAAATGAACTGAGTTGCAATCCAACAATTATGCGAACACAGATTATATACAAAGTATCTCACTTATAATAAAAGAAAAAAAAAAAAACACATCAGCACTCAAAAATACGTAACACAACACACTTACAAATGAAAAATAATGAAAAATAAAAAATTAATAATATAGATTCGATCACTATTCCTGGCTGTTAACCGAAACCAATCGTTTTTTAAATAGCTTTAGGTTTCTGTTGAAAACATCGATACCATCCAACCCGTCGTCCTCAAGAGAGACCCTATTGTAAGCGCGACACATACGTCCGATAGGATTGTGATACGAGATATTGTTATTATAAACATCCAGGCTAAATGTTCTGGGGTGTCGGAATTTAAAGTTGATGTTTATATTTATGGAGCCTAGAAGCGTGGGTGAATCAACGACACCGTGAATAATTTTGTGCAAATACACTAAGCTGTTACAATTGCGACGCATTTCAAGCGTTTGCAGTCCGAAACGGTTGAGCCTGTCGTTGTAGCTTTCAAGTGTACGTCCGTACCGATGGCGAGAACTAAGCAATCGCAAGAACCTCCTCTGTACTGCCTCGACCTTATCACAGTGTATTTTGTAGTTGGGTGACCAAATGACCGAGTTGTATTCCAAAACGCTGCGAGCCATGGTACAGTATAGATGTATGGAAGTTTTAGGACTTTTAAAACTTCTAGTGCTCCTGCTTACGAAACCGCACAATCTGTTACCCTTATTAATAATGTAGTCATAATGGTCCCTGAATGTGAGTTTATCGTCAAATATCACGCCTAGGTCTTTCGCGGTGGATTTGCGTGAAAGTATTTTTCCGTTTAATGTGTAATCAAAAAGTATTTTTTTCGATCTTTTCAGTGTAAAGCTTATTACAAAGCACTTTTCTGTATTTAACGTCATATGATTATTAGAGCACCATTTAGAAACAGCATCTAAGTCCTTCTGAAGAGATGTAGCGTCGTTAGTGTTGTTAATCGAGGAATACATTTTGAGATCATCAGCGTATAGTAAAAATTGACAAGACAAGTTCTTAGCTAGATCATTAATAAATAATATAAAAAATAATGGTCCAAGGTTCGATCCCTGTGGTACCCCAGATGTAATTGTAGCCGGGGAAGAAGTGTACCCTTTGATTGCAACTAATTGAGTTCTCCTGTTTAAATATGATTCTACCCATCTTAGTAAGGAGCCATGGATTCCGTATGCTTTAAGTTTGCGACAGAGCAAAATATGGTTTACCTTGTCAAATGCTTTTGAAAAGTCAGTGTAAATCGAGTCCGTTTGTCCACTTTTCGCGAAAGTGTTACAAATGTAGTTCTTATACTCTAATAAATTTGTTGTAGTGGAACGGTTTTTTATAAAACCATGCTGTTTTTCAGAGAGTACTGGATATACATGATGATAAATTTTGTCGTATACGATAGATTCCAAGATTTTGGAGAAACATGATAAAATACTGATAGGTCGGTAATTTTCGCAATGCGAACGGTCGCCAGATTTATGAATAGGAATAATATAGGCTGTTTTCCAATATTTGGGGAAGATACCGTTGTTCAGGGACATGTTGAACAGAATAGCCAGTGGAGCACTAAGTTCTTGAGCACATGATTTTATGAAAGAAGGTGGTATCCCGTCAGGGCCTGCACCCTTATGTTGATCTAGATGCCTGATTTTTTTGCATATTTCATTTTTAGAGATAGAGAAGTTACTTAGGGTATCATTACTGTAGTCGACCGCCTCAGGGTTGTATAGGCCTTTTAAATTGGAAGAACTAAATACTGAACTAAAATAATCTGAAAATAATTCGCAAGCATCCTGGGCGTTCTTTGAAATTTTATTCGCGTATTTTACAGCTTCCGGTATTGAGTTAATTTTGGAACCTTTTTTATCATTTATGAATCGATAGAAAATCTTTGAGTTAATATGTGTTGAGTCTTCCACAGAACACACGAAATCGTCGTAACATTTGTCTATAAGGTTCTTGCTTCTTTTACGTAGTAAAGAAAAAGTATCGTAGTCACGCGGATTATTAAATTTTTTAAATTTTTTGTGATATTTATGCTTTTCGATGAGACAGCGCTTGAGCCCGTGACTGAACCAAATTGGGTAACGAGACGAGTCGTCTCGTACCAAGGGTGTGTTTTCCTTAATTACTGTGTTTAAGGTCTTATAGAATTCTTCCACGTTGGTGTCTATATCTTCAAATGAAAGTGTTTTAGTCCAGTTAATGGTTCCCAATACAGATCGAACATTTTGATAATTACATTTAAAATAATTTAGTTTCATGCGCTTATTTTGTCTAATTGTTACCTGTGGCTTTAGATTCAAAGTAATAGCAATAGGTGGATGATGTTTGTCAATACGACTTAAAGTTGAGTTTACCGCACTGTTTACTTTGATTGCCGATAGATTTGATAAGACGAGATCTAAAAGTCTGTCATTATGATTTCGAATACAGTTAAATTGTTTGAGATTGCAAAAGTTCATTGTGTCTAGTAATAAATGTGATTTGTGATCCTGACAAGAGCTAGGTATAAGATAATTAGATGTGGGTGTATTTTGCCATGTTAAGTTCGGTGTGTTAAAATCTCCTATAATTAAGAAATTGTTCGTCTCGTTTATGTCTGTGATAAGTTTAGTGCAAGAAGCATAGTAAGATTCAATACTGTCCACAGCAAGGTCAGGAGGCAGATAGCAGAGACAAAGGTGAAGAGCACAGACATTATCTTGAGTAGATATACTCAACCACAGATCCTCGATATCACTGTCCCAGGAAGTTTGTCTTAAAACATAAAAGCTTTTCTTAATCGCCACAACTACCCCGCCGCCGTCTTTTTTGTTAATACTGGAAGTGTGGCGGTCTCTACGAAAAACATTGTAGCGTGAGTCGAAGACTTCATGGTCGAACACTTCGTCGTTGAAATTGGTTTCGGTTAAGCAAACAACGTCATAATTGCTGTTCAAAATATTGAGGGATACATCAACAGTTTTTGATCTAATTCTATTAACATTCTGGTAATATATTAACATAATAAGTACTTTTGGTTTCAAAATATAAGATGTAGAATAAAGCGAAAGATTATACAATTACTTACTACTATCAGTTATTTTAAGTTTTTTAAGCAATCTTCGTTTTTAATAAGGATAGCCGATGACGAATCATTTTTGCGTACGTAGACGTTTCCATACTTGACCCAGACGTATCTATATTGTTTCTCTTTAGAGACTTTCCGTGCGGAGGCGTAAATCATTTTACAATCTGGGGATAGGTGCTCCGTTACATAGATTAATTAACTTAATAATATTAATACCGTTACTTTGAAATTCCCTTTGAAAATATGTATTCTAAATAACTCCAAAATCATAATATTATAAATATTTCCTTCCAGGGACTGGTAAATCTCAGTTATTAAAGACGGGTGCGGAATTGACTCCACGTTCTGTGTTTACATCTGGCGCCGGCAGTACAAGGGCTGGATTGACTTGTGCAGCTCTTAGAGTAACAAAATAATACATAGTATATTTATTAGTCTATAAAAAATAATAATAAATTGAATAGAAAAGAGATATTTCGAGAAGCTTACATAATATTTCTATTAGTCAAACTATGGTAGTAAGAAGTTTAACGTTACTTCTTATTTTACTTTCCTTTAGGCTTCTTAATCCTTGATCCATGTAAGAGACGGTCCCACGTATTGCACAATGATGTGTTTGTTTCGTCTGCGTTAAATCTCATGAAAAAATATTACATATTCTGTATGTATAGATTCAATATTCTATATGTTATGAAAGCAGATGCCACTATTTCTTGAATCTTAATCTAGGTTAAGCATAACTTCCAAGTTTCGGGTCAATTCTTTACTTGCTGAAACTCTGCGACTTACTTTACCTAATTAAGATTAGTATTATCTCTCAATTATCGACGATTTTTATACACAAATATACTTGTTCTATTTTCAGTTACTTTTTCAAAACAAATCAAAATAACTGAAGATTATTTCCAGGAAGATGGTGAATGGCAGTTAGAGGCTGGTGCATTAGTGTTGTCAGATGGAGGTGTTTGCTGTATTGATGAGATTTCACATCTGAGGGACCATGACCGCACCGCCATACACGAAGCTATGGAGCAACAGACTATATCAGTTGCTAAGGTCTGTCTATACCTAAATTAATACATAAGTATAGAAAATTTAATATGTAGGCTATAAAACATGTAACGTCCTGAATATTGGCCACAATAAAATTTGCATTGATAGGACTTATTAATTCAAACTACATCTTTATATTTTCGAGTCATTTTTTTTGACGGGATCGGATCTATGTCTTTATTTCTCTTATATTCATTATTAGAAGTTGGTATTCACTATTCAATATGCCGAAAACTAAAACATAATAATTGGAAATATATTAATAGTACACACAACAAGGTTTTATGGTATGCGTTTGCGTGAATCCTACTTCATTTATTTCTATCACAGATAGATATTACCTGTAATTTTTCTGAATCGCGATTATTACCCCAATGCCATTATGACCATTGAATTTAATTGTTTTAAAACATATCTGTTCCAGGCTGGTATTGTATGTAAATTGAACACAAGGTGCGCTGTAATAGCAGCCTGCAATCCCAAAGGACACTATCAAAGGGATGAACCATTGAGTGTTAATGTATCCTTGGGCACTCCGCTTTTAAGTAGGTAAAAATGATTCTTATCATTAATTATATTGATTTTGTCTTCTACAAATCAAATTTTACAAATTTAAGACTTCATAAAGTTAAAAATGCATAGCATTTATCATTTAACCTTGTAAAAATGACATGTAATGCACTTTAAACTTGTTTTTAATACGAAATAATATTTGTATATTATGTACTTTTAAATTCTCTCGTCGTCGACATCAGCCTATCAGTGCTGAATGCTGAGCAAAGGCCTCTTCTCACATGGAGAAAGTTTACAATTCTCTAATGAAATAATATTCAAATATTGTCATATGTACCTTTTTCTAAGTTTGTCTTCAATAGAATGACACCAAGCTATGAATAGTAATCAATAATTTAAAATCTTTTTTCTGTTTTAGATTCGACTTGATATTTATTTTACTTGATTCTAAAAACAGTGAATGGGATGAATTAGTTTCAACGTACATATTGTTTGGAGATTCAGACGTTTCGGCTAAGAACAAATGGGATATTGAAAAATTACAAGTGAGTTTAGAATTAAATCTTTTAAAATAATACAACTGTAATTAAAAAAAGAAAGTAGGTATGTAGTTTCAAACTGCATGTATTAAGTTTTTACATAATAATAATAATAAATATATTTTATGTTTTTTCTATGCCAGATGTATATAAGCCTAATTGGTCCAAGACCTACTGAAATCACAAAATCAGCAAATATAATAATCCAAACCTATTATATGATGCAAAGGAAGTCTGAATATAGAGATCCTTCTAGGACAACTGTTAGAATGCTTGACAGTTTAATTAGGTAATTTCATGTTAAAATATATTTATATATATTTAATAATTTATATTAACCTACATAACTATTGTTACTAATTTTACTGTTTTTAGGTTGTCTCAAGCCCACTGCCGTCTAATGTATCGAACAACGATATTACCAGTAGATGCAATTACAGCAGTATCTTTAATAGATCTATCAATGCAGGATTGCACATTGGACAAAACTGTAGACGCCTTACATTCAACATTTCAAAAATATCCTGACTTTGAGTATCTATGTACAGCAAAACAACTTTTGACAAGATTAAATTTATACGAGATATGGAAGGAAGAGTTATTATATTATGGTAAAATACTCCAAGTTGATCATAAAACTTTAGAACATCATATAGATACTAAATGCGAAAGTCTGTTCGCGAGATATGATAATGTGACCGATAACAATATTCCTCTTTCAACATCTATCGTCACTAGTTCATACTTTAAGAAGAACACAGATGAATGTGATAAAAATATAACAAAAGAAGACACCAGTGAAGGTGTTAGCAAAAAGGATAAAGTTATTAATGATAAATTAGCAGCAACTTTGAAAAAACATGCAACTCTTAATAAGGTTGAGAAAAATCCACCAATTCAAGAGAAAAAGAAACAAGTGAGACGTAAGCAAAAACAAGTAACTGTAGGTGTAAGTGATTTAATAAAATCTAAAACAAAAAAGATTAAAGAATGTATAACAAATAGTGATGATGGAGGTCATACAGCTTCTAATAGTAAAAATCATCAAGCAGATAAAAATCTCAAAAATTGTGAAGATATAGACAGTTTAGAGGAAGACTTTGCAAATGATGTTAATACAGATAAACAAAAAATCATATTGAAAGAAACTAGTAGAAGTACCGAGGATAAAAGGATTTCTAAGAATGATGAAAAAGTTTCAGATATTGGAGGGAAGACAGTGGTTAAGAAACCAAAATTGACTGTTAATGCCAAAGTGTCCAAAAACTCAACTACCAAAATAGATTTTAGTTTATCTACTGAAAGTGATGATGAGAGGGCAATTGATAAAAATGCAAATGATGAAGCAGAAGTTAGTAAGATATCAAATAAAACTCTTAACAAATTAAATCAGTTCATATTCAAAGAAACTTCTGATTTAAATAGATTCTATAATGAAAATCCTCATAATCGATCCACAGAAAGTGAAACTGAAAAAAATAATTTAATTAAATCAATAAAACCAGAATCAAGTTCACAAATTTCAATGTTTGAGAGTTCAGACTGTGAAATTGACTTGGATATATGAAATCATGTATTTAAAGAAATATTATAATATGTATTCTAATCAATCATTGTAAATAACACTATATACATATATACATGTTTTATTTGTCATCATCAGCAGTGGAAGGCTTGTAAGGATCTGTTTCATAATTTTCTATGAGTAGTGTTTTAAATCTTCTTGCTGTGACTACAATTGCATCTTCTTTAGCTGCTAGATTTATTATTTCAATCCTAGATACATATAAGTGCTCCGGATTCTTTGGGCTAACACCTTTAATGACATCTATTTCATAATCTACTCTCACCTGGAAATAATAATATTGAAATACATGTATAATTTCATTTCAACAACAAAAAAATAAAAAAATTGTGTTTCTTTCTCAAAAAATTAGCTCCAAATATTAATACATATGGTTCTAGCTTCTAGTATTAACAATCAAAGTGGAAATTTTTATTAATTTTATTCTTATATAGTATCATGTATTGACAGAATTTAAAGAGTGAATGAAATTCATGAATTTGTGGCTGTGATGGAACTTCAGAAGTTTTATATCTTATGCTTATGAATAATATTATTTTAATATAAAAATGATGTGGTAATCAGTTATCATCCTTTAGAGTAGTAACCCATAATGATAAATAATAATTTCATTACAATTTTAGCAATAAAGTAAATGTAAATATCAAGAAGAATGGCAAAGTTTCTGAATGTATGATTTTACGCAAGCCATAAATAAAAAGATCTACATTTTTTTTGAAGTTTTAAAACTTTTCATATAACTGTTAGGAAAAAAAATATTCAAATTAGAAAATACTTACAGGAGCACTTTTCTTTAATATTTTTTTGCCATTTACCCTTATTTTACTGTCATAAAATATGGTTTCTATTTTACTAAAACAAAAAGAAATAAGTTTAAGTAATGACATACAATACATTTTCACAAAATACTAAGTAATAGGTATCATTTACATTGTTTGTTATCTTATTTATATCGTGTATAAATTTTTATATGCATGCTGCTGTATGTTTTTCAGAGTAAAATAAGTGTTTTTGTGTATTGTAAATATATATAAGTTATAAATAGGTAAATGAAAAACATTTCTTACTTCCTAGCAACACCCAGAGCTGCTTTAAGTATTGCATCAGTCCTCAAAGAAGTTGTGTTAAATTTAATAACTTTAGAATCTCTTGAGAGTGAGGCATCATTATCATCAAAGATCTCAGATTCATCGTCAGAATCATGATCAGCTTGCTGTAAATTAATTTATTAAAGATTAAATTATACAGGTTTTTTTTTACACAGATAACTTGTCTGAAATAATAAAAATATTGAATATAGTAATTTATCTTTAGTATAAGTATATACCTTTCTGGACTTACAACGACATAGGCTATAATTATTTAAGGGGCAGATTGGTGATAATTTGGCGGTTTGTAGATTTTTTTCTAAAACATTTTTGGAACTTATTATTAATGGTCTTGGTCTGGATTCCAATGATACGAATCGGAGTAAGTTTTGTCTTAAATAGCTTCTTCTCCTTAATACGTTCATTTTTTCTGGGATAGTTTGTTTTTAAAAAATCAGAATATTAAGGAAACAATTTCTATCAACACAGATGAAACTACAAATAATCTAAATAAAGCAAAAATTAAATTTTTATTTTATTCCTTCAGTTGTTGGTCAAGAATTAATAAAGGTTAATTCAAATGTCAATGTCATTGAGATTATGACATTTACGAGTCTATTTTAAAGTTTTAACAAAAATATTTTTATCTGATATTTTTTCTACTTTCAATTTCAATTAATCATACAGAATAAGAAACATATAAATGGTACAAATATTTTTCGCCTTTTTTATTTGTTTATATATTAGTTAGATAAGTAAGTAAGCGCCATCTATAAATTTTACTCGAAATATTTTTGTTCGCAACCTCACCAAAGACGAAAACCGGCAAAACTGAAATGGTTTATTCTTAAACTGGTGTTCCTATTTAAATGTTTTGAATTAGTTCGTATTAGTGTATGTGGAATCAAATTGAGAGACTAATATTATCGTTTACAAATAGTTATTTTGGAATAGAATTGTTCTATCCATCACGTTATACAGCAACCCTTCCGTTTGTTTACGTTATGTAACATTTGTTACATGTTACAGTTACTTTATTGGGACCGATAGCACTATTTGATCATAATATTTAGAAATTTATCTTTATGTAGCATTGTTTGCTCTATGTTATGAATTGTTCATTGTCCCATAAGTATGAAACCGTTATAATCGTATTTCATATACAGGATTGTATATTTTTTATTAAAAAGTTCTTTTCTTAATAACATATTTAAGTTATCTCATATAATGATTGAAAACCTTTGGGAATTTCACAAATTTTTTTGAACATAACTAGATGATGTGTAAGGTGTAATATTTTGTTAGTTAACGAATATTTTTATAACCTACATCTGTGCCTTACATCTCCATGCTAGGGGTGCATATGTCGAGGTCGTGGGATTCTACTTGACTTCATGTCAGTGTATATTATACTCAAGTCACAGCGTCCGAGTAGTATGACTTCATGGCATATTGGTTACAAGCGGGATGGTAATAAGGACTAGTTTAAATTGATGGTATATAGTTCATAAGAGCTAGTTGTTGGTGTGTCAGTTATCTTGACTCGGCGACAGCGAGGCGCACCAATGTAAACAAGTAGACGTTTCTGAAAGCAGACATTTTTGATTGCGTTTGCTAATAGTTTTGCATTTCTAGTTTATCTGGACAATAATCAGAGGAGAAAGTGTATATTAAAACGATTTCCAATTTTAAGATAAGGTTTAAATTGAAATGGACACAAATATCAAATTTATATATGTGGTTTTTACTACCTAAATTAATAGTCGAATAGGAATGTTGAATTTAGTTAAAGGGGGCAGTCATAGCTTTACATTTTCAATAATAATATGGCTTTTACGTTGATATTGAAAAAATATTTGTTGGTTCGTTGTTTTAACTGTGGCCTTCGTCCCGGCAAAAACGGTCACAATATATTCTGCCACTGTCGTGTAGAATGGTAGAAATTGAAAAAATATTTCACAATTCCAATAGGAATGGATTCGTAACATACCTAAATTGAAAAAAAAAAGAATTTTATTGATAGGTACTTCCAAGATACCTACAACATATTCTATATTTTAACATCTTATACTACCTCTATTCATAGCCGGCGTCTATAAATACTTGTATTGTTCGATCTTCTACAGCGTGTTACACATTATCGTATATTGATGGTATACATCGTATCAGACGCTGCTCTCATTATTTTTTATTATGTTGTTTAGTGTAAAGAGGAGATAAAGAACAAGATATTAGAAAAACAATCACGACCACCGTATTTCAAGCACCCCTTGCTCAAGTCATCGCTATGCGGTGTAAAAATAAAAATGAGCGTCTTAAAAGATTGTAATTAAAAGCCGCCTAACGCTATACTTTATCACATTATACACGGTTTGTCTCTTAGCAACATGTGGACACATGTCTCGAATTTAAAACGATCTTTTTATTTTCGTATACGATTATGTTCACGGCGCGTTCAAAGGGTTTTTAATTTGACACAGTTTATGGCTTTGTCTCGTTTGATGGTGGAATAGACGTCCGAGTAGAAGGAATTAATTAAATAACAAAGGGCTCTTAACAAAGTATTCTTATGCTACTTTTTTACAAATAAAATATGATCATTCCATTAGAAATTTTCAGGAGAATTGCAGGAGAATTTAAATTATTCAGTCATAAATTAATCTTTTGGATTCCTATCTGTTTCCTGCAACTTCATCCGCAATATAATTATTAACTTCGTACATTTGATTTACCCTTATACACTTTCACAATACGAATACGATTGTATGTACTACGTAAAAGAAACAAAATAAATAATATGTTATTTATTTTTAAATTTATTTTTCACGGTTCTTATTTATGAATGCAAGGACGGCTTTCAGACTAACCACTTGTAAGAGGTCACTGACGTCTATTCCTTTTGCACTTCGCAAAGTAACGACTTGCGGTTCAGAGTAAAAAATTTAAAAGGTATTTTTTGTTAGTAACTATTTTCTATAAAAAATTCTCTGACTAAATGGTAATCACATAATAACAGACCAAAATAATATAATCGCATTTTGATAACAAGAAATGTCTATAGGTAATTATTTGTTAACATAATTCTATTCTACTATCAAAGTCTAAAGAAAAATGCCATTGTATTCAGATATATATGTGTTTTACTTAATTTTTATCGCGTGACGGTACATTACGGTGATATGGACGGATGTATGGATCATTTTGAAAGAGAATGCCAGCACTACAAAACAATAAACAGATTACATAACACGGCAACCTTATCAAATGTAATTGATTCCACAGCTCCTATTCTTCTCATCCACACAATAAAGCTTCTATATTATAATCGCATTCTTGAACAATGGTTTACGATGCTTTATGCCCGTCGACGACGGAAGTTATGAATACATCGGTACTTGGTTGTAATGTTAACATACAAACATAAACATGGCCGCTATTATAAATAATGTTCTAGGAATATTAAAATCGGGAAACACAATGTGTTATCTTGCGAGCTGCAAGATTCATTGTAGGTAGTATGAGGAAACATGTTTCTATATTTAGATCAAAATTTATGTACAGCAAGATTGCGTTTTCTCTAATATTGTTGCATTTTCTTATATTATTCATGTCCGAAATCTCTTACTAGAAAGGAAGTGGTGGTTGTCAAGAATTAGATTTTTCATTTGCCGCGCGGGATACCGTATCATTTATCATTTCAAGATGACACCTCATCATGTCGCGCTGCTCCTTTGTAAAGTCATCGGACTGTAAAACGGTTGACAGTATGGAAGCCGAAACGTGACGGTTTGAAAAATAACCAGCCAATTATGTCGGCTATCTGTAGAAATGTTTTTGGTCCGATTTCAATAGTTTAAATTTAAAGGCCGATTTTTTACATTATTTAAATTTTATAAAAGTACATTTAGTTTAAGACTATGATGTCTTAAATTTAAACTTGGGTAACGTGTCAAAACTTTATTCAAAGTGTCATTAAGAAGTTATTTAAATACTTATAGTTTCATTTAAAGTGATGTATCTCGTCTCGACTGTTGCAAGTGAGAATCCTGGCTTAGGTAAGTACAGTCTCACTTTTTACAGTATTTCGTTTAACATATATTAACATCCTTAAATGAAGCATCGGTTATCTTGGGTGCAACGAGGTGATGTGGCAATCGTAATATTAATGACAATAATAAACATTTACGTATATTAATAACACCATTTAAGTTTTTATGATACCCAGAACATCGTGTGTCTTAATAATGTTTTAGGGTTCAGTCAAGTATCCATAAAATTTTGAGAAACTATAATTTAAATTCAGTAAAATGATCTATTCGTAAGTATTAACACATGTTAATATAGTTGAGTTACTGACAGCGTTTTTTAATTAGTTATGGTGGGTCTGGTTTACGATTGAACCACATGGACCACGGCTATCACAAAACTGCCTCACTAATGCAAGTTTTACGAGTAATTTCATGGTTATTCATTAACTTCGCAGGGGGCGACCTTAGGGCGCTAACAGAATTCGTCGCACCCTGTGTTTTCGCTTTCAGTCATCTTAACTCTATATTTAGAAGTGATCTCATATCGACCCCTTTTTATGTCAATGCACCCGTTAAAGTGCTCTTAATCATCTGGCATAATAGTCACTATAATAAAAAGGTTTTATGTAAGTAAATAAATGTTCTCCTCTGAAGCGATAATAAAATAGTATCACGGCATTTCTCGGAACTATTTAATGGAATAACTTTGCACTTTGAACTATATAAAAATATAATAATTTAACGATTTCCAATTACTTTGCAAACTGTTTTTAGTTAGATGCATATATTTATGAGGAGTAAAGGCTCGTTTGCGTTGATAACATCCGTATATGATGTAGCCATTATAAGCTCATTTTGTCTGCTAACAGGGTGATGTGAGCTTAATTAAAATTCTGCTCCATCCATCACTGGATTATTGATTTTGTGTCATGTACATTTGGCGCGTTGCCTGTCCGTTATCAATTAGTTATAAATCGTCGATGATGGTATTCTTGGTAAATGTCGCTTTAAATAATTGATGTGACTTTCGATTTTAATTGCCCTTTAGTTTATAATAATTAAATAATAGATTGTATGAAAAACGTAAATGTTATATAATTATACGTATTATGCATGAACAACATTTTTCTTCCATTGACTATTAAAAATATTGGGTTGGCTTATATTACGGTTCACAGTTTTATCGAAACCGAAATAACTTCCAAGCATACGAGTAAAAACCATTGATTGTGAGTTTTTAAAAGACGTCAAAAATATCTTGTCATTTGATTGGGAAAGATTTTTTTTGTCAATGTCATTACATAATATTTTTAATATTTTATAAATAGTTTCAAAGTTTTTACATTTAAAAAATTTTGAGGTATAATTTGAACCTATGGTATAATTCCTTCATAAAA